TGAGCACCAACCAGGTGAGAGGGGCAGGGTCTCAGGGGACGAGGGACACCCAGACAGGCCAATGACCCCCAGGCCTGAGGAGCATCCTTTGAACTTGACCAACCACACGACGCCTTGCTGGAATGTTCAGCCTGATTGACAGGACTCACTCAGCAAGGGGGGCGAGGGGGAAGAGGTACAGGCACACCTGGGAGGTGACCTGGAAGTCTAAAATGGGACATTACAACACACCGCAACGTGGGAGCTTTGGAGCTTTTCCCTGCAGAGCTCAGCAGGCAGTGGCTGGGAGGTGTTTGTGCTGTGCTGCTCACACCTCACTCTGACAGCAGCGGCGTGTTTGAACTTGAAAACATCAGCCTGTGTTTTGCTGTGTTCCCTTGAAGTCAGCGAGTGTGAGAAATAACACTTAACTCCAAGGCTCTGGAGATTCCCAAAGGATGGCAATCTTTATCTCAGGCTGACAGCTCTTGGTGGCGCTTTAATTTCTGCCTAAAGAACAGAGGTGGCCACTGAGGCTTTTTCTCCATTTTCTGCCACGTGCTTTGCTCTGAAAGCATCCTGGAAAACTTGGCCGCAGAGATCTGGGGGTTTCCCACTTCCTGAAATCCAGGCTTAAATAAGGTATTTGGAAGTAGAAGGCAGAAAATGGAAGTTCTTTACAAAACCCCATTACAGCATTATTAATTTCTTCTATCAGCGGCACAAACTGCTGGGAGGGAACAAATTGGAAAAATAATCCCAGCTTTTTTTTTTGTTTTTCCTTCAGCAAGAGCACCATGCAAATAAACCCAAGATATATCTATATATGTAAAATAACATCATCAAGTGGTTAGAGCAGCTGATTTACTTTCCATACTGTAAGTCCAGAAGACTCAGAGTAAAAAAAAATGTTGGTTTTTTTTGGTTACTGACCACCAAGCAAAGTGCAAGGGGTTTTTAACCATACAGATATTATTCCTCTCACCTTCCCCCTCCTCACTCTCAGTTCTGGTCCCTGTTTTAGGTGACATCATCCTCCATGGTTTCCACTCTGCTGTAGAGCCTTTGGCTTGATCATCCTTCAGTTTTCCAGCACTTTATTCTTCTCTCCTTCTTTTTCAGAAGTGTTATCTCAGCTACAGAATTTCATACTTCCATGGCAGGCTCATCCTTACAAATTTTCCATTTTGAAAAGGTGTGAACTGCAAAAAAAATTGAAATATTTTCCAAGTATATGATGAGATATCTTAGCAAATACAGATTTCCTGTTGCTCCCCCCACTCCAATCCTGCAGAAAAATGCAGCTCTTGCTATACAAAACTACACTAAAACTTACCAAGTTTTCCTTTGTTCAAGTTGCAAACTCATTTATTTTTAAGGACTATTTTAGAAAAAGAAAGCAGCTTTGTGGACCATCAGGTTAATCTTTAAATTTGGAATATTCCCGGGCAGGGTGGCAGCAGTGCAGGTGATTTGTTACCTCACTGCCTTGTTTATCTTTTTTGCAGTTCTTGCCTTGCCTGAGTTAATTGCTGCTGTGTTTGGATTTAATGAATGTACTTTGGCTCAGCTCATCTGAAGTACAGTCCTTGTGTGACCTGGGAGCATTGAGAACAGTGATAATGGCACTAATATTAGTCTAAAAATCAACAAAATCAGTTTGGGGACACCGTGGCATGGAAAAGGAGGACAGAATCCTTTCTCTTGGAACTCACTTTGCTTTATTAGGTTGGAAATAACTTCTTTCTTCTTCCTTTGAGAAACATTCCCCTGGGTGTTATCAGAAAAAATAAGGAATGATAAAACCCTGCTTCCTGCTGCAGGAACATCAAAGCTGGGCTTTTTTAGTCTATATTTGTAGTCTGTTCTTAGATATATTTGTGGGGCTAGGAAGTGTTTGAGATCACTGTGGAAACAAATAGAATAACACACATGGGCAAGCACTTGCAAAAGGTACCTGTGCAGCAGCGAAGGTTTTTTGTGTGAGGTGTTAATTCTATTTATGCTGCATTTTCTGTTCCTTTCTGCTCCTCTGGAACAGCGTGTTACAATGCTGGTATTTTGGTGAACGGGCCATTCTATCTATAAGCTACTCAGTCCCTGTGGTGCTCTGCTGGTTCATTCTAATAAACTGCTCCATTCCTTGTATTTCAGTACTTAAAGAGTTCAAATTCATCTCCAATATAACACAATTTAAGTAACCTTTTGTTACAGGCAGAGCTATCTGCCAGACTGAACCTCACCCTCCAGTTCTTTTATATATTGTACATTTTCTAGGGAATAGCAAAAAAAAAAAGTGTCCTTGGCACCATTAAACTAATCTTTGCAGGCTTTTCATCAATTTTCATGACTTCAGCTTGAAAATGTTGTTACATTTCATAAAGCAGTGAGAGATCACAGATTGAGCTCCCTTTGCCCTTTGTGTCTTTCCGTGGTGTCACCAACTAATCACGCAGCAGAGCAGGGTTTGGAGCGAGGGGAGGACGTGGGAAGTGTTGAAGTCTTCCCTGGGAAGGGAGGGACATGATCATTCTCACATCTCAGATGAAGACTCAGGAAACATTCCTGCAGCACAGACCATGGGCTTGTGCTGCTCAGTGTTGGGTTTGGTGGGTAAAGCTGGATGATGAACTCCCAGGAGGTTCTGTCCTGTTTTTGGGGATACCTGTAGGAGACAATTCCCATTCCATCCAGCCCCTTTTCCCAGTGATCCTTCCTGAATTAAGGCCGTGTCAGTCCGTAGGAGCTGTGCACTGTTTGCCCCTTTTTAATTAAAAACTGGTGGATTTTTTCAGTCATTCAGTCTCTCTGTTTGGGAAATGGCAGGCAGTGCTTCCAGCTCCTCCTGGGGTGAGGTTTTCCAGGCTGCTCTTGAGCTGTCTGATGGAATTGCTCCCAGTTCTGCTGTTTCCTGTATTAAGAGTGGTTCAGAAGTTCAAATGTTGGTTTTGTTCCCCCAGTGCAGCTGTGGTGGATGGACAGAGTGTGAGGGATGGAGCAGCACTGGGATGGGATTACACAGATACCCAGTGGGATCCAATGTGCCCAAACTAAACTCAATCCTGTATTTAATGCCCTTTGCTTTCCCAATGTGTTTTCCCCCCAAGCTTTCAGACCTCATGTTCCATCCCCTGCTGGAGTTTGGTTTCTTTCAGCAGCACCATTTTGCTTTTTGAGATTCAGGGATTGGTTTCTGAGGACCTGGCAGTTCCCTGTGCACTCAGAATGGACACAGCAGTTCCATTAGAGACCTGCTCTGCCTGATAAATTCACTTTATTGTAAATGCCAGCTGCCCTTGTCCCCTGGGAGCTCCATCCCTGTGGAGGGGGTGGCAGAGCTGCTGGGAAGCAGATGGGCTCAGGGCTGCCTTCTTTGTGTGCTTCCCCTTCTCCTCTTGCCTTTCTTCCCGCACATCCCTGCTTTTCTGCTTTGAAGGATTAATCCAGGACTGTCCTGCTCTGCCCAAGCCTGGCCAGACCCATTGCAGGTGCCTGCTCAGGTGAGAAACCCCAACCAGATCCAAGGTCATTAAACCAACGGTGACTGCTGCCAGTCACTGACTGCAGCATTAATGGATGAAAAAATAGATGGGTAAGAAAACCTGAAAGAAAGAAGACAGGAACAAAGAGAATATTTATGCAAAGTTAGTTTTACTGCAGTTGCTGAATTTTATAAATTTCAGCTTGTCTGTGGTCCTTCAAAGCTGGGCTTGGCAGCAGGAGAAAAGCAATGGCACGTGTGAGAGAAATCCAGGACTTCTGCTTTATTGCACTGACAGAACCAAATTGTTCAATCTGTTGCCTCATCTGTTTCTTGCCATAGCTGAGAGCTGTAAAGGTCAGGCCGTGGCAGCACAAGGAATTTAATGGTTCCCAGGCCGCCCCTCACGGCGTTCCCAGCTGGCTCCTGCCCCTCTCCCATTGATCCTCCAGCTCCTGCCTATTTTGGGAACACGGGCAGAGCAAGGTGGGGCGCTCAGGATGGGCAGTGCTGGGCTCAGCTCTGGCTCCCTGTGCTGCTCTCCCAAGGCTCAGGTGGGAATAATCCTCATTCTGCTCAGGGATGGCTGCTGGCTCACACTTGTTGTGGTGTAGGACGTAGTGAGTGATGCAATAAATACGTCAAAAACTGCTGAGGGAAACCTTTTCTCTCCAGTCTGGTCTTCAGTGTGCTGGGCAATTAATGTCTTAAAAATTCTGAGTGTACAGATAAATACAGGCAAAGTGCTGTGGCATCCTCCTGAGCCTTCCTCAGTGAACCCTCTGGTTCTCCAGCTCCTCCATCTCCGTGTTCCCATGGCTTTAATACATGTGAAGTGGTGGGGCTCCCATGGAGACTGATGGCACGCTCTGGGCAGTGTCTGACCAGAGAAAAAAACAGAAATAAAAGGCAGTTCTTACTCCCTGCCTCTCTTGCTTCCCAACAACCCTTCACCTTTACAGAAGCACCTAATGGGTGCTTCACATCCCATTAGCTCTGAAGGGATCCCCACCAGAATCCCAGAAAGTTCCTAGATGGACCCTAAATGCTCTTTAAGGTCCTTTCCAACCCACACCATTCTGGGATTCTGTACCACTTGCCCCCAAACTTTTCTTGGCTTTTTTGGGGTTTCAGAGATGAGCTCCCTGCTCTTTTGGCTCCTGTAACAAGATAAGAAGCACAAATGCCTTTTGGTGAATTTTCCTGGCTAAAGCTCCTGGTTTGGTGAATATTTTAATTAAATCTTCCCTGCTCAGCATTCTAAATTTTCTCTGCTATTGCTATTCAGGGAGAAGTATTGCCATGACTTGTTCTTCATTTCTGCAAATCTTGCTAAGTTATGCAAGTCACTGTTTGACTTCACAGAAGATCTTTGTTTTACGTTTCAACACTTGGAATGCTGCTGAACTTTTGCGTGTTTTCTCTCTTTATTAAAACGGGGGGAGAGAGGGCACATTGCTACGTGCAGTAAATGATATTTTTATACAACCTGTGCCTGATCCTGCAGAATTCCATTGAGTTGTGCTTCCCATCCCTCCAGGTGCCATCCTGGGCAGGTCAGAAACACAGGAGTGCATTTACTACAACGCTAACTGGGAGAAGGACAAGACCAACCGCAGCGGGATCGAGCCCTGCTATGGTGACAAAGATAAAAGGAGACACTGCTTTGCCACATGGAAAAATATTTCTGGATCAATTGAAATCGTGAAGCAAGGCTGCTGGCTGGATGACATCAATTGTTATGACAGGTGAGTTTTCCTAGGAATTTTTGCAATTGATTTGTCACTGTAAACTCTTTTGCCTCTCCATAATTTCTACGTCATCCCCTCCACAACCAGTGAGTCTGGGAATAATTATTTAATTTTCAGATGCTCAGTTGTATTTAAGGACCAGATTCCATGTGAGTACATTGTTTTGTGTGCAGAATAACATGTTTTACCTTTTTGAATGTACCCAGGTATTTCATTTATTCTTTTTTAGTCCATTAATAATAGATTCTGTAGTGCCTTGTTATTGCCAAACAGTGCAAATGTAATTATTGCAACCAGGATGCAAAATCCTCTCGTTGATTTTTCCAAAGTCTTTAGAGTTGGAAAGTCAGCACTTTGTGTCTGCAATTTACCAGATCATGGAAGTATTTTGGCAGTTTATTAATAAGCTCAATGGCAGCTCTAAGAATATTCTAAATTTCCAGTTATTTTGTTGATAACAGATGGTCCAGAAAGAACCCACAAGCAGTAACAGCAGGACTTGGGGTTTGTTAGATGCTGCCTGAATAAAGGTTATGACTCTCTTAAGCAATGGTGTTGCAGCTTTTTTAATACTCTACTGGGTTTTATTGGCCCAAAACATTTATTATTTGGGAAGGCAGAGAATTAAGAAATAGATCCATTAAAAAGTATTGAGGAATTATTTCAGTAATTTTTATAGAAGTCTTCTTTTGTATTTCTTTAAAGTTGAATTTTTAGAAGAAAGCCTTGCATTCCTTTCTCCCAAATCAAGTTGTCCCTCAGCCCAGGATGTTTTCTGCTTTAATGGCAGTTTAAAGCTCAGTCCCACAATCTAAAAAAAATCCTAAAATCATGAGAATAAATTCTCCCTTGAGCAAAGAAAAGAAATTGGAAGAAGAAATGAAGCGCAGGAAGGACAGTGAGGAAGGAGCTGGAAGCTGAGCGAGTCCTCATTAAGTGACTTGTGCTAATCACAGGCAGTGCTGTGTTTGTCCAGAGCAGCCCAAATCTTATCTCTGGGAGCTGTGGGGGTGACTGCAAACAGCAGCAGATTCAGCACATCAAAGAGAAAATGTTCCCTGGAAGTCACAGGGCAGGGTGGCAGCCAGGGCTGGCTCTGGGGAGTAACCCCAAGTTTTGAAGATGAGCCCAAAAGCTCCCTGACAATCTTCAGCTGTGTTTAAAATCCTGCAGTATTTCTTCAGCCTTTTCCAGTTCTGCTGTCAGGTCGGCTCCTGCTGTTTCTTTCCTGATGGGAATAGTTTCAGCTTGTTTGTTAGCAGAATATTAATGAAAGAGCCATTCCTGCAGTTAATTCAGGGAATGAAATAAGCCCTGTCCCTGAGCATAATGTAGGCAGAGGAGATTGTGAAAATTTTATCATTTCTTTCTACAAATACAATAAAATTTAGAAATTCTCCTTCTCACTTATCTCCAGCCTTGTTTGATCACTTGCCTGTCCTGTTTAAATCTAGATTGTGAACTGTTCCTCAATCTGTTGGTGGTGGTTTTCTTTAACTTTGTCTTTAAAATGACAAAAATGTGTTTCTGCTTTAATAAATTTTCATTGCAATGTCAAATATCAAAATTCAATTTATCTCATTAGGTTTAGCTGTTGCTTTGGTCACGGCCGATTTAACAAAGTTCACCTTGGAAATTTAAAAGCTGGGCACATTTTTTTTTTAAACAAAGATAACCTAGCGCAAAATAAATGAACTTTTCCCCCTTTTCTCCTGCAGGAATGACTGCATAGAGAAGAAGGACAGCCCTGAGGTGTTTTTCTGTTGCTGTGAGGGCAACATGTGCAACGAGCGCTTCTTCTACTTCCCGGAGATGGAGGTGACGCAGCGTAAGTTCCTCCTGACTGCAGTGTTCCACATCCTGCTGTTCCAGCAGCTCACACTGGCCAAAAGTGCTGCCTTTGCTGCCTTGCCACAGGGCTCTGGGAGAGCTCTGGGCAGTGCCACTGCATTTATTCCACTTGGAAAGGTGCTTTCCTGTAAATTCAATAAAATGTAAAAATATAAAATGGACTTCAGCTCTTTCCAAGGGTGGGAAGGAAGGATAATGTGAAATACTTGCCTGGTTTAAGATATAGAAGTTATTGTCAAATATTACCTTAATTACATGGTTAAGCTCCTTTAAGGGTGTAAATTTCTGGGCCAAAAGCTTTCTCATCCCTGTGCCATCCTTGGGATGCTCCTTTTCTTCAGAGAGGAGCATCTTTCCAAGGGTGGGAAGGAAGGATAATGTGAAATAATCGCTTGGTTTAAGATACAGAAGTTATTGTCAAATCTTAACCTTAATTACATCGTTAAGCTTCTTTAAGGATGTAAATTTTTGGGCCAAAAGCTTTCTTATCCCTGTATCCCTGTGCCAGCCTAGGGATGCTCCCTTTCTTCAAAAAAGAAGAAAAAGAACAGAAAAGGTTCCTTTTCTTTCTTGTCTGTATCCCAGCTGGACCTTTTGAATTTCTCTGTAAATGGACACAATAACCTCTAAAAAGGGGAAAAGAATTTCCTCCCAGATCACAGGATCCTTGTGGGTTCTTCCACTCAGCATATTCTGTGGTTCTGAAAGACAATCAAATCAGCCAGACTTAAGAAATAATTATTTTAAAAAACAACAGCTGAAAGGTGATTTGATTTTTCTTGCCCATCTTCTTCCAGTCAGGAATCTGCTGGAAAACCAAGGGATGTTAATAACTGAGCTGCAACCAGCAAATGTCTCATGTACCAAATAGCCAGAGGAAGTTGTTCATGAAATGAAAGAACATTTTCTGCAAGATGAAAACAGCCTTTGTTGACCCAGGAGATATTGTTGTCATTTGTGTCAGTGGTGCTGCTGAGGCAATAATTGACATTCCTCCCTCTCCTGAGCCCTCTCTTGCCCCAGGGGCTGTGGCTGCCTTGGGAGCAGCTCCTGCTCCTGCAGAGCCTTTTCCGAGCTCCTGTGGAAATGTCTTCACCTGGAGAGCTCCTCCCTGCAGCCAGGCACAGGAGTGCTGGAGTCTGTTGCCAAATCTCTGTATTGATTGGGTTTAGTTCATTAGGTGGTGAATTCCTGCAGTTCCTGGGAGTCCAAGCACCCTCTGTAAGCTACTGGAAGCCCAGAATTGCACCAGGATCTGAGCTATCCCCCTGCTCTCCAGAGTGCTGCCTTCTAACCAGGTGTTACTTTGTGCTGGCTGATCAGGTCCTGGCAGCAGCTGTTAGCAAACCAGGCTGCTGCACATTTCAAACACTGCCTGCTTTTGTTCCTTAAAAGCTTTGTCTTTTTGCTTTTCCCTTCAGCAACTTCCAATCCTGTCACCCCGAAGCCACCTCTGTTCAACACCTTGCTCTACTCCTTGGTGCCTATCATGGGGATTGCAGTGATCGTGCTCTTCTCCTTCTGGATGTACAGACACCACAAGCTGGCCTATCCTCCCGTGCTTGTTCCCACCCAGGTGAGCCCCTGCTGCAGGATTTGGGGTTTTTGAGGGGCCAAACCATTCCTGAAGGGGATCTGTCTCATGGCTGGTCTCTCTGTTCCCCTCCTGATTTCCAGGTCCTAACGCTTGCTCTCCCCCAAAGCAGAGAATTAAGCTTTACTTCAACAGCCTTATTAATTATTCTTTGGTGAATAGATGAGCAACTATATCGTAGGAAGGGGACCAGGACACCAGCTGGTTCATCACAGGTCCAGTTTATTGAAGAAAGCATCAAACACTTATACAGCAAATAATAAGCTTATGAATATTCTGTAAGCCAAGCAAACTATTGGTTAAACTATACCATGAACTCTTCCTCATTCCTTAGGGGTTACATCTCTCTTTTCTCAAGTCTCTTTCACTATTTGTTATTATACTACAGCTAGGCCCAAGGACACGCTATCTTTGCAGGTGTAGGATTTGGAATTAGCCACAGCTTTGTAATTTTCCAGTCTCTAGCAGCTAAATTCCCAACACAACTACTTCATGTTTTTATGCATCTCTTTGTTTGGGAGGAGAAAAACTGAACACACAGTGAAGGCATGCTGAGGGCTGAGCTGTAATGCTCAGCTGGAAACAAAAAAAGAGTTCCCAGTTCATCTTGGCCATTTGAGGGGTTCAGCAAACAGCAGCTAAGAGAGGATGAGCTGTTTTTAAGGAAAACTAGAACTGGGATACAGGTGTAGGGAATGTTAAGAAAACCTTCATAGCTCAGCTCATGCACTGTGATTCTTGTCATATTTTTCCTCTTGTTTGTGTATTTTCTGTTTTGTCTCGAAACATTTCAGTTTAGGGGTGTTTTTGTCAAAAGGATGAGGTTGTGGGCTCCACACCTGAGTGTAACCTGACCATTGTGCACCCAAACAAACCTTCTGGTGTTCTTGTGTGTGAGATTCCTGTTTTGTCCTGAAACATTTCAGTTTTAGGGGTGTTTTTGTCAAAAGGATGAGGTTGTGGGCTCCTCACTGAGTGTAACCTGGCCATTGTGCACCCAAACAAACCTTCTGGGGCTCTGTGTGTGATATTCCTGCTTTATCCTGAAACATTTCAGTTTTGGGGTGTTTGTGTTTCATGTCAATAGGATGAGGTTGTGGGCTCCACACTGAGTGTAACCTGACCATTGTGCACCCAAACAAACCTGGTGTTCTTGTGTGTATGGAATTCCTGCTTTATCCTGAAATGTTTCAGTTTTAGGGGTGTTTGTGTTTTATGTCACAGGATGAGGTTGTGGGCTCCACGCCTGAGTGTAACCTGACCATTGTGCACCCAGACCCTAACCTGCACCCAGACAAACCTTCTGGTGTTCTTGTGTGTGAGATTCCTGTTTTGTCCTGAAACATTTCAGTTTTAGGGGTGTTTTTGTCAAAAGGATGAGGTTGTGGGCTCCACACCCGAGTGTAACCTGGCTATTGCACCCAGACAAACCTTCTGGGACTCTGTGTGTGATATTCGTGCTTTGTCCTGAAATGTTTCAGTTTTAGGAGTGTTTGTGTTTCATTTCGAAAGGATGAGGTTGTGGGCTCCACACCTGAGTGTAACCTGGCCATTGTGCACCCAAACAAACCTTCTGGTGTTCTTGTGTGTGGGATTCCTGCTTTGTCCTGAAACATTTCAGTTTTAGGGGTGTTTTTGTTAAAAGGATGAGGTTGTGGGCTCCTCACCCGAGTGTAACCTGACCATTGTGCACCCAGACCTTCTGGGGCTCTGTGTGTGGGATTCCTGTTTTGTCCTGAAACATTTCAGTTTAGGGGTGTTTTTTGTCAAAAGGATGAGGTTGTGGGCTCCTCACCCGAGTGTAACCTGACCATTGTGCACCCAGACCTTCTGGGGCTCTGTGTGTGGGATTCCTGTTTTGTCCTGAAACATTTCAGTTTAGGGGTGTTTTTTGTCAAAAGGATGAGGTTGTGGGCTCCTCACCCGAGTGTAACCTGGCCATTGCACACAGACCTTCTGGGGCTCTGTGTGTGGGATTCCTGCTTTATCCTGAAACATTTCAGTTTTAGGGGTGTTTTTGTCAAAAGGATGAGGTTGTGGGCTCCTCACCTGAGTGTAACCTGGCCATTGTGCACCCAAACAAACCTTCTGGGGCTCTGTGTGTTGGATTCCTGCTTTATCCTGAAACATTTCAGTTTTGGGGTGTTTGTGTTTCATGTCAAAAGGATGAGGTTGTGGGCTCCACACTGAGTGTAACCTGACCATTGTGCACTCAAACAAACCTGGTGTTCTTGTGTGTGGAATTCCTGGTGTTGGGAGGCTCCAGCTGATCCTGGAGCTGTAATCGGTGCCGCCACTGGAACTCCTCTTCCTTCAGTTCTGTCTGGAGATCCAACTGAGATTAGGAGGCTTTTATGGAAAGAGTCAAAGCAGGAAATTCTAGAGACCAAAGCAGAAAAGATGGAGAAAATGTGGTTGTGGAAATGAAGAGAGAAATGATTTGGATTTTTGCAGTAGGATTAATTTGAGCTTCCAACTCAATGCAGTGACCACAATACACGACCTGTCCTACAGTGATGATATTGATGATAAAAATGAATTTTTTTATCCTGGGATTTTTCCAGTGCTGCTGCCTGACAGGAGGGTGCTGCAGGAAGCAGCTTTGCCTGGGGTTGATAGCTCAAGTGTTTTGGTTTCAGTTTCTCAGTAATAGATAAGAGGAATTTGGGGAGAGGCAGTGGCCATATGTTGTTGCCAAATGAAAAGAACATAATTTAGAGGAAAAAAGTCTGTTTGCTGTCCTTGCAGAGAGGATTGCAGCTCCTCAGACTCCCTGCAATCTGTCAGCATAATTAGTTCATCCAGCTCCCATTTTATGGGTTTGGGACTTTACATCGACCCAGTGGTCTTTGCTGGGAGATCAAATTCATAACTGCTAATTGTGGGGATAATTCCAGTGTGGGATTGACTTCCTGAAGAAATTAAGTCATGGATAAAGCTATGGAAAAGCAAGAGAATGTTAAATATGTGTGAGGTATCAAGAACTTGAATTCTGATTCTCTCCCTCCTTTTGCTGCAGTTTTTTCCTTGCATGGATTGTGTTTGGGGCAGGATTGCCACCTCAATTTTTAATAAATAGGATAATCAGCTGCTGTGTTCATGCTCAGATTGTATCTTTGGGATAAATGTACCTTGGTGCTTGTGGGGCAACAACATTTTCCTATCTTGTGGTGAGCAGGCATTAAGGCTCATGTGGAAAGTCAGGAAAAGCCACTTGTGCCTGAAAAACTCCCCAGAATTATTATGTAAATCCAATATAAACACTCTCCCTGATGCAGCAGAGCAGTGGTTCCCACTTGAAATTTAATTACAGCTGCTTGGAACAGGAGACAGGGGAAGCAGGAAGGGAGGGAAAGGATTGGGAACTTTATAACCACGAATAAACTCTGAAATATTTGTGCAATTAATCTGTTAATAGTGTATTTAATAATTGGGGCATGAGTGGAGTTTTAGGCAAATGGATTTGGTTTAATTCTTTGTGTAGCAGTGGTAGAATGGACAGGTTGGATGTACAGCAGGAAAAACAAAGATTGTTCCATTTGAGATCCAGATAAAAGTTATCCCTTTTTCCTTGCTTTAGTCCCAGAAACAATGGGAACACTGAGCTGGTACCAAACTTCCAGGAAAAAATGAAAGAATGGATGAGGAGTAAGCAAAAGATAAAAATGAAGAAAAATAAGCAAAAGATAAAAATGAAGAATGAGAAATGGTGGAAGAATTTGGTGATAAGTAAAAGATTAGAGAGCAAAGGGAAAGAAATAGTTTGGAATATTTAAAAAGGAAAAAAAAAAGGCAAGAAATACACAGTGAGAAATGTTTGAACCTGTGAAGAGACATAAAGGACAATTAGTCTTGGCTTGTTTGTGCTGCTCACTGTGCCTCAGTGCTGTGTGGGGAGGTATCCAGTGAAAGCTGTCCAATTCCATCAAATCTGTCACTGCTGTGCTCTGCACTGAGTTATCAACAATCCATGTTTGCTGAAGGCATCTGTGTGTATGGCAAACACTTAGGAACTGTTCTGTTCCTTATTTCTGTTTCCTTTAGCAAACATAAATTGATAAAATTCACCCAAAGAATCAGATTGCTGTTTGAAATGTTTGAATGTGTGCATTTTTCTGCAGGAAGAGGTGCTGGGACCTGGTTCCTTTTCACTGGGGGATGGAGTTGGGTGTGAGCAAACATTGCCAATCAATCTGGGCTGAGGCTGGCAGGGGCAGCTCTGTTGTGCTCTCTTGTGCTCCCTGGCTCCTGGCACACCAGAGCTGGCAGTGCAGGTTCTCCAAGGGGCTTTTGCCACCCTGCAGCTGATGGGTGCCACTGTCACCTCCCTCAGAGCTGCCACCATCCCCCTGAGCAGGGAACCATTCACCCCCTGGGTGCCCAGCTGGGCAGGTGTCACTGCATCACTGCTGCTTTTTGGGCTCTGGGTTGGTTCTCAGGTAATCATTGTGTTGAGAGGCTTGAGAAAAGGCTTTGCAGCTTCGCTTCTTTGTGTCTTTGTGACCTGTTTGGGGATTTCTTCTGAAATGGTTGAGCTCTCTGGGCTCAGAGATGCATCAGGGTTTGGATTTCTGACCACAGGAATTCCTAAATCTGCCTGAGGCATTTGAAATTTCTGGGATGATCTTTCCACCCAGTTTCCTGCTGGAGAATGAAGAACTAAATCAGCTGCTCGGGTTTTTCCCATTTTGGTCTTCCAAAATCCACATTTTTTGTTCTTGTTGTTGTTACAGATATTTTAGTAGAAACATTTCAACACTAGAAAAATGTAAGGGAGAGGTTTGGGTTTTTGGAGAGGTTTGGGTTTTTGGAGAGGTTTGGGTTTTTTTTTTTAAAGGATTGAATCCAAACCTGGGAAGATTAATGGCTACTTGAAAAACACACCCAGGGAGAAGCCAGGTGCTTGTAGAAAATAGGAAAAGAGATGGGAAAGTTACTACAAATCAAGATCCTTGAATGTGAGGATGCATCAGGGTTTGGATTTCTGACCACAGGAATTCCTAAATCTGCCTGAGGCATTTGAAATTTCTGGGATGATCTTTCCACCCAGTTTCCTGCTGGAGAATGAACTAAATCAGCAGCTCAGGTTTTTCCCATTTTGGTCTTCCAAAATCCACATTTTTTGTTCTTGTTGTTGTTACAGATATTTTAGTAGAAACATTTCAGCACTAGAAAAATGCAAGGGAGAGGTTTTGGTTTTTTTTTTTTTAAAGGATTGAATCCAAACCTGGGAAGATTAATGGCTACTTGAAAAACACACCCAGGGAGAAGACAGGTGCTTGTAGAAAATGGGAAAAGAGATGGGAAAGTTACTGCAAATCAAGATCCTTGAATGTGAGGAACTTGAAACTGGACCCTTTCTTTTTCCTAATAGAATCCATGGGCTGCTACAAGTTAAAATCTATAATAGAGGGAGAAATTTGTATGAAAACACCCAAAAGCCAAACGCAGCTTTTACAGATGAGGAAATGGTTGTGGGTAGCCCAAAATTTGGGAAAAACCCACACTGCTTAGGGTTTTATTGGTGTAATTGGTTCTAAATATTGTAATAGAGCCTTTAGAGTTGGTTTTTTAGCACAAAGAGCAGTGAGTGTGTTTGTGTACATTTGTGTGGGTGACAGGGGTTCTGAGGGGTTTAACTGCTCCCAGTTGTTGTTTATCAGAGCTCATTCCTGCCACCAATCTCACATTTGCATTTCTTTTGTAGCCTGATGCCCTTTAAGGGCTGGATTTCTGCTGGGAGCCCGGGGTGATGCTCTGTGGGCTGCAGGGGAGGACACTGGTTCATAACCCAGGGGTGTGAATGAGCACAAATCCACCCTGCAGAGTTTCCATGTGTGAGGAATTGGTCAGAGTTTGGGGGAGGCTGATCCCTCAGGGGAGGAGTGAGGGGTTTGGGACAGGGCTCACTCCTCAGAGCTTCATTTCTGCAGTTCCTCATTATGGTCAGAGCACAAAGGTTGAATTCATACATATTTCTGCTTATTGCTGAGGAATTTCCATCATTCTCCAGAGCTGGAGAACTTTAATAATGAATAAGCCTGGGAAAAAAAGGAGAATTTCAGCCCCTTGGGGTGGGTTTTGCTCTGCTCTGGATGGTGGAGGAGATTCTGGTGGATCCCAGTGCTCTGAGTTCTGTCACAGGTTTATGGAATGAATCCTCCTGGATTAATTCTTGGTGTTAATAATTCTTGGTGTTAATCTGGTATGAATTTGGAGAAAGGGAAGTGTGTGCTCATCACTGCCCAGGCACAGGGAAAGGCTCTGGTGGCTCCAGAGCATCCTGAGGCTGTGAAGGCTCAGGGGGAGAAGGGGCTTGAATCCCTCTCTTCCAACATCCATCCCATTATGAAGGACAAAGGAGATGGCTCAAGTGGAAGAGTCACAGAATTCTGGAATAGTTTGGGTTGGACTGAAACTCAAAACTCATCCCATCCATGGGCAGGGACACCTTCCACCACCTCAGGGACACTTGCACTGTCCCAGGCTGCTCCAAGGCTCATCCAGGCTGGCCTGGGACACTCCCAGGGATCCAGGGCAGCCCCAGCTGCTCTGGGAATGCTGTGCCAGGGCCTGCAGTCCAGAGTGCAGGAGGAGGAACAGAGGCATCTGCACCGGGGTTGTTCAGGAAAGGGATGAAAGCAGCACAAATGGGGGTCACTGAAATCCTGGGGTGTGCCTTTAGCCTGGGTTTTGTTCCACACTATGAACTCCTCCTGGGATTGTTGGAAGGAATCTTCACTATTGGGATTTATCAGTATCTGCTGCGTGCAGAGTGTGGGAGTTCCCCTCTGTTTGTGGATGTATTGATCAGGTTTGGTGCTGGAGCTCAGGTCCGAGGTGCCATTGGTTGATCAGGCCTGGTGGCGTGCATTGATCAGGCTTAGTTCTGTGCATTGATCAGGCCTGGTGCCGTGCATTGTTCGGGCTTGGTTCTATGCATTGATCAGGCCCGGTGCCATGCATTGATCAGGTTCAGTTCCGTTCACTGATCATGCCTGGTCCCATTGATTGATCAGGCCTGGTTCCATTCATTGGTCAGGCCCAGTGCCATTGATTGATCAGGTTCGATTCCCTTCATTGATCATGCCCGGTGCCATTGATTGATCAGGCCCGATCCCGTTCATTAATCAGGCCCGGTCCCATTCATTGATCAGATTCGATTCCATCGATCAGGTTCGATTCCATCGATCAGGTTCGATTCCATTGATCATTGCCGGTCCCAGCCGGATTTCCGTGGTGCGGCGCTGCCCCCTGGCGGACACCGGGAGCGCTGCAGGGAACAGGGCGGGTTCTTCTCCCGCCTCTGGAATTTCACCTTTGGAAGCTCCACGTGTCTCTGTGCTCTATACACCTCCAATGGACATTTCCCTATGTAATTAAAAAATTATCCTGTTCATTTTCTATAGAATAATCTTGTTTTCCTCATTTTCCTTTACTAACAACACTGGATTTCTTTGCTGTTTTAAATAACGTTCTGGTGTGGGAAAGTTTTGCTGTCCCCGTGAATATTCCTGTCATTAACTCACAAATAATTGACTTTGTCTCCTCTAAGCTGTTTTTGCATCCCATTCTGGTGTAAATAGTAATTTCTCTTGCCTGTGTTTTTTCCCTCTCTGCAAGCACGCCTTTCATATAATGATTGAGGTAAGAGGATGTTTGTTCCTGGCTCTGGGGCTTTCTGGGGATGTGGGAGACATTGTTTGCTCTGAATTGTGATTTCTCAGTATTTTGGACAAGCCATGTGTCAGCATGTGTGGTTTAAAATGCGGTTTTAGCCTGTGGTTTGTGGATCTCCTGACATTCCCTGGAGTTGCTGAGTGGGGTCAGGATGTGCAGGCTGGGATGGATCCTGGGCCAGAGGGCTCATCCCACCCACCTGTGCCCTGTCCCTGGCTCTCCCTTCCCATCTCCCCCTGTGACAAATCCATTGGAGCTCTGGGGTCTCCATGTGCTGATCTGGGATTTTGTGTGAGGCAGGAACTCCCAAAAATGGATCATCTGGAGAAAAATAAAAATACTCCTTCACCACTCAGTCTCTCCATTTTTCCCACTGACCACAAGATATTTATATTTGTTACAACTCCAAGTTACTGGAACCCCTTAATTCACAATTTGGGTCATTCCTGCTCAGCTTTTCAGTGGAATATTAAAACCATCAAGATTTGAGGTATAATAAAAATGCTCAATTCCTGTCATCATTAAAGTTCTCTAATTAACAGCTGAAATACCTTGGAAATACAGTTTAGGAGAAAATCTGATGGTTTCAGTGTATTAAAAATGTGAATATTTGAATATTTCCCTGACTGTGTGTCCATGAAGAGTTCCCAGAGTTGCTTGGAGCTCTGTCCATGTTTGGCCTCCTTATCCCAGGTCCTGCCTTCAGGGAGCTGCTGTCCATGGCTTTGGGTTCCACAGGGGCTGAGCAGCTCTCTGATCTCCAGACCCATTTTTGGGGACACCCAAGGAACCCCATTCCTGGAAGCCACCCTTCCCTAAGGAATATTTCCCCTGTGACTCACTTCTGTGGAAGGGCAGGAAAAGGGAATTGGGCCCTGGAGTTTTGGACATTTGGGAATTTGGGAGCCCTGCTGGCATTGTGGTCTTGGCACCACAGAGATCAGCCCAAAACCTCACAGGAACAATGGGGAACATTTCTGGAACATTAAACAATTTTCCTTGGAGCAGAGCGAGTTGGGAATATTGTCATGGAATGTTTCTGTGTAAAATCATCCCTGAGCTGCAGAGCCTGGAGTTAGATTGTAACCAAGGTGCTTAGAAAAAGTCAGAGGGGAAAAAAAAAAAGGAAAACTTTTATTTCCAGTGGTGTTAACAGCAGGAATTGTGGAATGGTGCTGGGAATGAGGTGAGGAGAGCCAGGGGTTTCTGGGAAATGGAATTTGGTGGATGGGAAGTGTTTGGACCAGTGGGGAATGAGGAAAGCACCAGCTTTGCCTGCCCACTTCCAGCTCCTGGCAGAGGGGCTGGAGCTGGGCTCAGCAAATCTTGGAGGTGTTTGGTTTTCCTGGTGCTTGGGACAGAATTCAGGCACCAAGGGCTTCCAAATGCCAGCAGTTATTGAGTTATTGGGAGGAGGCCGTGGGAAGGAAGGGGAGTCCAAGCCACCAGAGCAAAGGGGGATTTGGGATTATTTCCCACCAATTTCTCTGCTTCAGACAAGGCAGGAGGTTCTGAGCTGGAGCAGTTCATTCAATCAGGGTTGCCTTTGGGGGATAAATTCGAGCATCTTGTTCCCACTTCCTCTCCTAACGACAACAAACTGGATTTACAAATATTTATTTGGTACAGTTTGTATTTTACAAATTGAGGGCACTGCTTTCCCTGGTGCCTGCAATATTCCAAGAGGGCTCTGGCACGGAATGAAAGGCACCAGGGGAGGGAAATCTTTGCTCTCAAACTTGGTTTTCTGTGCTGCAAATGTTGATGTCACAACTCCAAGCTCCTGTCGCTGTCACACTGACAAAAGGATTTCCTCTTTTTGGGGACAGAGCTGCAGTGTGGCTCTGATTTGAATTTCAAATGCTGTTTATTCTTTGTCTTGTTATTAATTTGTGCAGTGGGGTTACTCTGCTCTGAATCTTTCTCTGGAACTTGTTCTTTTTAATTTATTTATTGTTGTAGAAGAAAGCAGAGAGGGGGTGTTGATTCCTGACACTACTCAGGACTTGCATTCTCAGCACTCGTCTCCATTCTCCCCTTAGCAAAGGGTTCTTAACCCCACAGTTGATCACAAAATGTGTCTTCAACCTGCACAGGATTTTGTGTTTTTGATGGAAGTTCTCAAACATTTAACTCTTTATTGAGCCCTCTCCTTTCTCTTGGAGAAGCAGCTCCTCTGGTGGTTTTCATTCTCTTGAAAACTGCTTTTCACTTTGGGGCAAACAGAGGAAAAGGGGGTGTTCTGGAGGGTTTTTAAAAACTTTGGGGTTGGCTGTTGGGGTTTTTATAGAGGGACAAGCTAATGCCACCTGGAGGGAGAGGCAGCCCAGAAGGAAGCAGAGCTTGGCAATAAAACTGAGAATCTGCTTGTTGTGTTCAGAGGATGTGGTGCAGCAAAGCAGAAAATGCAGGGTGGGCCATGAACTGTCCCTGCCCTGCATGGTCCCAGGGTGTAGTGTGGGATTGGGATTGGGGATGTGGGAATGGGGATGTGGGATTGGGGATGTGGGATTGGGGATTGGGAATGGGGATGTGGGATTGGAGATTTGGGAATGGGGATGTGGGATTGGGGATGTGGGAATGGGGATTTGGGGATGGGGATGTGGGATTGGGGATTGGGAATGGGGATGTGGGATTGGGGATGTGGGATTGGGGATCTGGGAATGGGGATGTGGGGTTGGAGATTTGGGAATGGGGATGTGGGATTGGGGATTGGGAATGGGGATGTGGGATTGGGGATGTGGGGATGGGGATGTGGGATTGGGGAACTGGGAATGGGGATGTGGGATTGGGGATTGGGAATGGGGATCTGGGATTGGGGATGTGGGATTGGGGATCTGGGATTGGGGATCTGGGAATGGGGATGTGGGGTTGGAGATTTGGGAATGGGGATCTGGGATTGGGGATGTGGGATTGGGGATGTGGGAATGGGGGTCTGGGAATGGGGATGTGGGATTGGGGATGTGGGAATGGGGATGTGGGATTGGGGATGTGGGGTTGTGGGTCCATGGAGTGCCCTGGGGGAGCTCTGTGTCACCTCCAGCTGTACCAACCCTGCAGGACAGGGCCAGATCCCCTCTGCAATGTGATCTCCTCATCTCTGGGAATTCAGGAGCTCCCTGGCAGAGCTGGGAGCAGGGAATGGGGCAGGAGGGGCTGGGCCAGGTGTGCATCTGCAGGGTTCAGAGATCCCACACTTCACATAAACACAGAAACCTTCAGTGCATCCCAGGGGCTCATTGCAATTCCAGCTTTAAAAATACAACAAGTAAAGCTTGATTATCTTTGGTCCTTAATTTCTGCTCTGCTTTCCCTCCTGGTTACAATATTCCTTAATTTTTGCTGAGCTTTCTTCCCACCTGATTAGACTCATCCTTAATTTCTGCTGTGCTTTCCCACCTCATTGCATTATTCCTTAATTTCTGCTGTGCTTTCCTAAGTAATCACATTATTCCTTAATTTTTGTCTTGCTTTTCCACCTGATTCTATTATTCCTTAATTTCAGCCTTGCTTTTCCACCTGATCACATTATTCCTCAATTTCTGCTGTCTTTTCCCACCTGATTTCATTATTCCTTAATTTCTGCTGTGCTTTCCTAAGTAGTCGCATTGTTCCTTAATTTCTGCCTTGCTTTTCCACCTGATTCCATTATTCCTTCATTTCTGCTGTGCTGTCCTAAGTAATCACATTATTCCCTAATTTCTGCTGTGCTTTCCTACCTGATTCCATTATTCCTTAATTTCTGCCTTGCTTTCCCACCTGATTCCATTATTCCCTAATTTCTTCTGTGCTTTCCCACCTGATTCCAGTATTCCTTAACTTCTGCCTTGCTTTCCCACCTGATTTCATTATTCCTTAATTTCTGCTGTGCTTTCCCACCTGATTCCATAATTCCCTAACCTCTGCTGTCCCTCCCTGCTGCTCAGGTGATTCCCTGGTTCCTGCTGTGCTGTCCCTGTTATCCAGGTGTGTCCCACCCTGCTGGGAATGTCTCAGTCCCATTTCCCACCCCTGCAGCAGGGCTGGGCTCTGTCCCTGCGTGTTTGGGATTTGCAGTGGGGCTTGGCTGGGTGGCCCCAGGCTCTCCCCAGCTGCCATCCTCTCTCTGTGGTGCTCTCAGGGGTGATGTGAATGGATGTCACTAATTAAAGCAGCATTAATTAATGGTCTCTCCTGATTGCAGGATCCTGGGCCTCCTCCACCATCTCCCCTGATGGGTCTGAAGCCGCTGCAGCTCCTGGAGATCAAGGCCAGGGGCAGGTTTGGGTGTGTGTGGAAAGCTCAGCTGCTCAATGAATACGTTGCAGTCAAAATATTCCCCATCCAGGTGAGCAGAACCCTTGGGGTCCTGGTTGTTCCTCACATTAAAGCAGCTTTTCTTGGCCCAATAATTCTGTAAATCCAAGTGGAAATGGACTTGAGGTGTAGAAGATACAGGCAGAATTTAGTGATTTAAAATAAGTGTTTTACTGCAGTAAACACATTACTGAAGCATAAACCCTGTGAAATGTGGGTTCCTAATCATAAAAATATTCAGCATTTGTAGTTTTAAGCAGCTCTAACCCATCTCTTGACCAGTTAATAATCAAATTAACTAGTGCTTAGAAGGAATGCCCTGAAATGCAGACCCTGGGGTGATTGTTCCAATTAACCATGCCTCAATTAATGCCACAGCACTCATTGCCCAGCAGGGCCCTCGCAGAGCCGTGGCTCTCATTAAAGGGACTGAGGAATTTGGAGAGCCCAGAGTGGGGCTGGATGCTGATGCTGGGATGGGTTTGCACTGATTGAAGCCCCCCTGCTGCTGGAGGTGCAGGGATTTGTTCCTCACACTGAGCCAGGGCTGCCTTGCACAGTCAGCGCTGCAGGCTCTCGTCATTGCACCAGAAACTGCAGGGATTTTCTGACAGAGCGTTCCCAAACCCTGCCAGAATTCAGGATGTCCCTCTGGCTGTCCTGGACTGCCAGGACCCTGCCAGGGGGCTCAGAGACCCTGGCACACAGCCCCAGGCCCCTGTGGTTTTGATTATGACCCATGGAGCAAATTACCAACCTTATATCAGCATCTGCAAAACACAAAAGTCTAAGTAGAATAATTGATTTGTCACAGGGTGAAAAACAGATTTTTTTGGGTTTTTAGAATGGGGGTTCAGGGGGCAAGATGGAGGAATCTGGGCGTGTCCAGCCTTTCTCCTTCTTTTTCTTGGCCTCCATCTCCTGCTGTGATGGTGGCACTTTGGGATTGGTTTAGAGCAGAAGCTCACTGTCTAACACGGGTGATGGGTATTGGGCAGTAATTGTAAATATTGCACACGTAGTTTTTAGTATAAAAAGATAACACATCCCCAGGGCAGACAGAGTGCCTTGGGCTGTCTTACTGAGGACAGGAGAAAGAATTTTATAGATAAGGAACAATGAACACCCTTGAGAGCGAGAACTGAAGAGCTCTGACTCCTTCTTGGAGCCAGGCTGGGAAAAGAGAATTTCTGACACCTCTGGGGGTCACTGTGAGCAGCAAAGCCCCAAGAGGTACCAAACTCCCCCAGGGCCAGCCCCTGCTGTGCCATGTTTTGGTGGCTAACCGTGTTTGGTGCTCTGTGCTCGCAGGACAAGCAGTCGTGGCAGAACGAGTACGAGATCTACAGCCTGCCCGGGATGAAGCACGACAACATCCTGCAGTTCATCGGCGCCGAGAAGCGCGGCTCCAGCATCGACGTGGACCTGTGGCTCATCACGGCCTTCCACGAGAAGGTGGGGCTGCCCAGGGAGGCTCACACACCTGGGCTGGGCCAGCACAGCAAGGAAACTGGGAGCAGCTTTCACTTTGCTGCTGCCTTTGCACTGGATGTGAATTGGTTGCAGTTGGTTTTCAGGCAGCTGAGAAAGTTGGCGTCGGGTTTTACTGACAGAGGAGTCGTTTTAGGAGACAAACAAAAATTGATTCTGCCTTTTTTTGGCTTTTTAGAAGATGTCTATTTTAACATCCCCACTCTAAACCTGCCTAAAATACATAACCTCCCATCTTGCAGAGATTTTTTTTGGGGGGTTATTTTTGGTTCACTTGTTGGTTGATAAGAATAAAGATGAAGTGATACAGATCGATTCTATTGTGACAGCAAAAGGAAAAAACACAAATACAATTAATAACACATTCCATTTTATGTTGGATCATTTTGATTTCTTTAGATTTGTTCAGAGTGTTTCACTCTGCAAACTCTTTAGATTTGTTCAGTTTCACTCTGAAACTGTGGTGTTGAATGATTTCATCTCTGTTTATTCAGAGTATTTCACTCTGAACCTGCTGTAGGTCCATAAGGAAGGACAAAGGTCCTACAGAAGTGAATTGCAGGCATTGCAGGTTTTTCCTGGAGCACTGAGGCTGAGCTGGGTGTGTTCCTGTTTTCTGCAGGGGTCCCTGACAGATTTCCTGAAGGCCAACGTGGTGTCGTGGAACGAGCTGTGCCACATTGCCCAGACCATGGCACGGGGCCTGGCCTACCTGCACGAGGACATCCCGGGGCTCAAGGATGGCCACAAGCCAGCCATCTCCCACAGGTACTGCCCTGGGCATGCAGGGACGTGGCAAAGCCAGCCATCTCCCACAGGTACTGCCCTGGGCATGCAGGCAAAGCCAGCCATCTCCCACAGGTACTGCCCTGGGCGTGCAGGGACGTGGCAATCCTGCAGGCAGCCCATCTCCCCCTCTTGGTCCTGCAGGATTCCTGCATCTCCCCTCCAAGGCACATTTTTTCCATTTTGTTCCGTTTCCGTTTCGTTTCCTGCTATTTAAACAAAGTTGCAGTCGCTGCACACTTGGATTGCAACATTCTCATTCCATCTCTATCCCACATGCATCATCCATATCTCCATATATCCCTACATCCCTATATCCATCATACATCTGTATTCATTTTAAAAACAAGAACAAAATTACAGTTCCCATTACTGTCTCATTTATTCCCATAAAAGTCTACAAGGGCACTCCGAGGTTTTATGATTATTATTTTGTTGTTTAACTTGCCTATTTCTTTATCATTTTCTTGCCTTTCATACCACAATGTTCCTGGTTTTATGCTCTTCCCTTTCCCTTAGTTCTTTGTGTATTTCATGTTCTAGATCTCTAATTTGTGTTTTTTTCTTGAACTCACAAGGGACATCAAAAGCAAGAACGTGCTGCTGAAAAACAACCTCACAGCTTGTATTGCTGATTTCGGTCTAGCTTTAAAGTTTGAGGCTGGAAAGTCTGCAGGAGACACCCATGGACAGGTAAATCCTGAGTTATTGCCAGGAATGATCCAGCTCTTACCTGGATGTGAATGGGAATCTCCCCTCAGGCTCTTTGCATGGCCTATCCCCCCTTTTATCCCGACTGGACAATTTGGACAAGAACTTTTGTAATATTTTATTAATTTACTTATTGTTCAGAAACTGAGGGATTAAACTTCCAAGATTTCGTCCTAAGGTGGGGGATTCTAGTTGTGGTTTCCCTGGGTCTGGATTGAAGGCACTTGGGACAGTAGTTCATGTTCACACTCAGGTGTTCATTATTTCTTATCACTAAAAGTCTCACTGCTGGGAGTTCAGCAGCTTTTCATTAGAAGGCACAAAATGGCCAAAAATCTCTTGGTACAAGGGCTTCTAAAGCTAAATTATCCAATTAAGAACTGACACATGGATTATTTTCCCTTTTAACCCAATAACTGATCCCAAAGAGGATCAATGGGGACTTTACTGTTCTGCCCAATTACAAAATGCCACCCAAACCCATGGAGAAGAAGGAGGAAGAAGAAACCCAGGACAACACCCTGTGCCCTCCATCTTGCTTCCATCCACAACAAACTAAAAATCCCAAAACCTAAATTTCTCACTTACACCTGCACTGCTCTCTATAATCTGTTTCACGCTTTCGTGGATTCTGGTCTATTCTGGAGTTTAGGAAACTTTCTCCATGGATGAGGGTGAAAGTCAGTGCTCTTCTGGGGGTCAGGGCACCCCAGAGCCGATGGAAAATGTTGTTGCATCGAGTTGTTCCATTGGGTTGTTCCATCCTTTGGTTGTTCCATCCTTAGGTTGTTCCATCCTTTGGTTGTTCCAACCGTGGCCGGTTTAACCTGGGACAGAGCAGGGGTTTCGTGTGGCAGCAGGGGGGGCAGTGCCCGTGCTGGGGGTGACTCTGGGCACAACCATGGGTGTTTTGTGCCCCTGCAGGTGGGCACCCGCAGGTACATGGCCCCCGAGGTGCTCGAAGGTGCTATCAACTTCCAGAGGGACGCGTTCCTGAGGATAGACATGTACGCCATGGGGCTGGTGCTCTGGGAGCTGGCCTCGCGCTGCACGGCCGCCGACGGTGAGAGAGGGACCTGCCCTGGGGGGGACTGCCCTGGGACTGCCCTGGGACTGCCCTGGGACTGCCCTGGGACTGCCCTGCTGCTGGGAGAGTGGGGCTGGGTGGGCTGGGAGCCCCTTCCAGCCCCAACCACTCCGGGTTCTGATTGCAGCCAACGTGGCAATCCTCCCTTTCCTGTGGCGGTGTCACAGCGGGCCCAGCACGAGGGAGGAGATGAGGATCTGACTCCATGTTTCAGCAGACTGATTGATTATTTAATTATATATATTATATTAAAACTATACTAAAAGAATAGAAGAAAGGATTTCATCAGAAGGCTTGCAAAGAATAGAATGATAACAAAAGCTCGTGACTGAGAGTCCAAGCTGACTGTGATTGTCCATTAATTAGAAGCAACCAACCTGGATCAATCCGAGATGCACCTGTTGCATTCCACAGCAGCAGATAATTATTGTTTTTCTTTTCCTTTGAGGCCTCTCAGCTTCTCAGGAGAAAAATCCTGGCAAAGGGATTTTTCAGAAAATATCATGGCTACGCTTTCCCTTTTCCCTTTCCCCTTTAACTGGAGTTTCCCCTGCAGGCCCTGTGGATGAGTACATGCTGCCTTTCGAGGAGGAGATTGGCCAGCACCCCTCCCTGGAGGACATGCAGGAGGTTGTGGTGCACAAAAAGAAGAGGCCTGTCCTAAGGGAGTGTTGGCAGAAACATTCTGTAAGTGTCACCCAACCGACTGAATGCCATGTTTTGTCCGTGCCGTGTTGTGTACATTGCACTGGGGTTTGGGAGGGGTTTCATAATTCCAGTAGGAGTTAAATGGGCTGTAAATGTTCCTCATCTTAGACTGCTTTTTCTTCAGAAAGTGAGGGATTTTTTGTTTTTTGGTGGAAGAAGAGATCCTGGAGTTACTTTGCAGTGAAATCCCAATTGGTGTGTGAGGGATTCGCCTTTTTAAAACACTGGGGGGCTCCAGCGGAGCAGGGAAGGATTTTCCCCCTGCAGTGCAGAGCAAAGCAGAGCTGAGGCCCCACGGGACGCTCCAGTTTCACACCAAACATGCTGTGGGACACAAAGGCTCCCATCTGGAGGTGTCCCTTGTCCCTTTTTGACGTGAGCCGTTTCCCCAGGGAATGGCGATGCTGTGCGAGACCATCGAGGAGTGCTGGGATCACGACGCCGAGGCGCGGCTGTCGGCGGGCTGCGTGGAGGAGAGGATCATCCAGATGCAAAAACTCACTAACATTATAACAACAGAGGACATCGTGACTGTGGTCACAATGGTGACAAACGTTGACTTTCCTCCCAAAGAATCCAGTCTATGATAGTTGCACTGGTCATGGAAGTGACCACAGGACTCTTCACTGGAGCTGCTACAGCGCACGGACTGCTGGCGTCACTGCTGTTCCGAGTGGCAAGAACGGATGGTAAGTCTCTCTGGAGCATCACCAAGAGGTGTTTTCCTTTGTTTTCCCCCTCCTCCTCCTCCCCAACGTGGATCCATGAGACTTTCTGCATTCCCTGCTTACACCTGAAGGACGTGACTGAGAACCCCTCACGTGCTGATAAGGAACTTACGATGAAGAATCCGGACCTGAACGGGCTAAGGAGCATTTTAAACACTGACATCCGATTTCTTAATCCCTGTCAGAAGAGACTAATTCCTTTAAATGAACTACTGTTATTTTTTTTAAATCAAAAACATTTCATTTCAGATTTAAAAACAACAAAAAAAAAAAGGGTAACTTGTTTTTATTGCATTCGTTGTTGTTTATAAAATGACTATTGTAATGCGACTACGACACAGCTTGTGAATGTTCCGTGTGCTGCTGTTCCGTGTACAGAAACAAGAGTAATCAATGGGATAGAGCAAAGAGGCTTCCAAGTATTACTTAACCTCCCTCAACCAGGTATACCTCAGTTCCACCTCGCTAAATTATGATTGACAACACTAATTGGAATAATAAACCGCTCCGTGTTTTGTAAATGATGTATTCCCAATTCCCTGTGTTATTTAAGAAGGGGAAAGCTTCATGCCCCCAGGAAGTGGCCATTCCTAGAGCCGTGTTTTTAGCCTTTTCTTGTACTCGCTTGTTGTGTATAAAAAAGAAAAAGTGCTGTTTATTGAAAGAAAATTTTCCCTCCTCTTTTAGTTGAAAGCTTTTCCCTCCATTTCCCAGAGTATCTCATCCATTTATTTAACTGAATACTATTTAGGTTTGCTGTGTCTGAGGAATATTTGAAACCTTAAGCATGACTTTTTTTTTCTTTTTTTTTTTTTTTTTAATTTCTCTGAGCTGTGACACTGGAAAGCTCTGAATTCTTGTTGTTTTTTTTTGAAAAAGAGTCTTTTTCCTATTTATGTTTGTGCCGAGGTCGCGGCGCGGTCCCCGTCCCGCCAGGCAGTGGGGGCTGTGTCGCTGTTTCAGGATCACCTCAGGAAGCTCAGTTCCCCCATTCCTCTCCCTCTGCTTGGAGATTTGCAGCTTCCCTCCACTCAAAGCTCGGTGCCATGGGAGGGGAGGGCAGCTCACTGCCTGTGAGCCACAGGTTGAGCCTGGAGTCACTCACAAAGTTCCAGCCACAGATTGCAGATCCTAAACGTTACAAATGTCAGGGATAACCCGGTTCTGCTCACAACATGCAATGACCATTCCGAGGTAACGAAAGGAATTTCGATGGCCAGAGCGCAGACTCACAGAAAACGAGGAAAACCATGGAAATTCCCAGCTCCAGCACTGGAGGTCAGGATGTCAGCCTTGTGCTGGAATTACAGTGACTGGGTGCCAAAGTGCTTCTCCCAAATGCTGTCCCACTGCATGGATTGGATCCTTCCCACCAAACTCCAAGGCCAATGAACGCTGGGAGCCCCTGGAGCAGAGGTGGCCGCGGTGTGCTGTGTGTCCGTGTGTCCGTGTGTCCCCCCCAGTGTCTCTGGAAGCAGCAGGTGGCAGCTCCTGAGGGCTGGGAGGAACCTGGATCTGGGAACTGCAGCCCTGGGAGCAGTGGGGTGTGAGGGATGAAGCAGAGCCAGCTCTGGGCAGGCAGGGAGTGAAGGGCTGATGTTCCAGCTGTGGCACTGCTGCTCACAGCTGTGCCCGAGGCTCCTGCTCCAAGGGGCCCGTGGAAAAGGGAAGGAAATGCAGTTTGGGGGGTCCTCTTGGCTGGACACTTCCCTTTGGCTTCCATTTCTGCTCCACTTTTAGTTCAACTTCACAGGGCAGGACTGGAGTTCTGAACAAATCCCAACCCTGGACGCTTTGGGGCTTTTGCTTGGAAATCCCGTGCAAGAACTGCAGCTAAATCCAAGTCCCTCCCACGCAGCTGCTGTGGGCTCGGGGCTGGCTCCTCCCTTTGGGAGATCCCTGCTCTGTTCAGTCCCAGCTTCCTGGCATTGCCAGCACCGTGTAGCTCCCTGAGGAAAGGCTGCTCCTCCCACAGCCTTCAATGGCTCAGAGTGATCTCCCCAGGCTGCTGTGCCCCAGGGCTTGGGAATGAATTCCTGTTTGACCTCAGAGCATTCAGTGAGAGCTGGGAGCAGCAGGGCAGGATCCAGGGGCACTAGGGAGAGCTCTGGCATTGTTTGGGCACTGCCCTTGGTCCCTTCCTGCCTGGCCTCACCAGCTGTGGCTGCTGAGGGTGACACGTTCCTGTCCCATGTCCCAGAGCTGCTGGAGGGGCTGAACCAGCACTGCCCTTCCTGGGGCATTCCCAAACTCTCCTGAGCATGGAATGAGCCAGGAACTGCAGGAGCGCAGTTCTCAAACCTCACCTGTACCCAGTGCTGATACTTGTCCTGCTCCATCAATACCCACAATCAGTCATCACCCCTCTCCTCTTTTCCAGCTTTTGTAACCTTTGTAAAGACATTTCTGTTGATCAGAACACTTGGTACAAAACACAGGAAGCTGCAATACACATCCCTGGGCAAAAGGACTCCAGTAGCATCCTTGATGGAACATCTGTTACCTCAGATACTCAACCAGCAGGACTGCTTTGCTTTCTCCCTCCAGTTTGTTTTTTTCAGTCCATCTCCTCTTCGTTACCTCTCGAGTTTGGTGAGCGATTACTTTAACTTTCCTCTTTGTATTTGTCAGTGTTTTGGGCACAGGTTGTTGTACTACTGTCAAAAGGCACTTGCTGCTTTTCTGCGAGTGCCACAAAACCAACCGACCCCCCCTCGCCCCCAATAAAGTGATTGTTAAATATTGTACAAATACAAATGTATACTCTGCCCTCTTCCCCAGTGGGAAAATAAAAAATGTGACTACTCTGACTTGCAAATGCTTCTTCAAAAACTTTATTTTAAAATAAACACATGGGGCTGGTCCTACAGCGGCTCTTGAGCCAAACTTCTGAGTTGCTCCAAAAAATTTGGTATGGAAAGATGTTACCTTGTACTTGGCACAAAACAGCCCTTGTGGCTGAAGCCTGTTGGATTAAACACTTAATGAAGTAAATTCGGTTGTGATTAAAGACTTAATTGGATAAATTTTCCATGTCAAGTCAGATTTGAGATGGAAAAGTGCAGTGTGAGCTGATGGGGCTGTAGAAGGGAGGCAGGAGGGCAGCATGGCCTGAGCCAGGACCAGAGCCCTCAGGCACAGGGAGAAACCCCAGAGCTTGGATTTGTCCAAGTGGGAAGCGAGTGTGAGAGCAGGAGTTGGCACCGAGCTGAGCTGAAGCACCTGGGAGTGAGTGAGGGAGTGAGTGAGGGAGTGAGGGAGGGAGGGAGTGAGGGAGTGAGGGAGGGAGGGAGTGAGGGAGGCAGGCACAGCTCTGGCTGCTGGGAGGGAACAGCAGCACCGCTCTCTAGAAAACCCCAAATGGCTCAGCAAAGAAATCTGACCCAAAACCTCACAGAGCTGAGCATGTTCCTGTGTGGGGTGGGGGGCTCAGAGCCAGCTCAGGGAGGAGGCTGCCCACTGCTTGACGTCCGTGGGGCAGTTGGGGTACACCTGCAGCGCGTCCATGATCTGGCTGCTGTCCAGCAGCAGCCGCAGCAGCAGGAACTCGCGCTGCGCCCGCGCCGACGGCCGCTCCAGCGGCTGCACCAGCTCCAGCTGCAGCAGGTGCTCAAAGGCCTTGGGGAGGAAAGGGGCACTGCAGGGGAGCAGCATCCCTGCCCCAAACACCCACTGACCACCCCCATCTGTGCTCAAAGGCCTTGGGGAGGAAAGGGCACTGCAGGGGAGCAGCATCCCTGCCCCAAACACCCACTGACCACCCCCATCTGTGCTCAAAGGCCTTGGGGAGGAAAGGGCACTGCATTCCTGCCCCAAACACCCGCTCCCTCCTAGGGCTCTGTCTGACCACCCCTGTCGCAGATATTTTTCACAGAAATCTTTTCTTGCAGATTTCTGCGTCTTCTGGGAGGCAGAGGCTCCAGAAGAGAATGTAAACAATTGTTATCAGCTGCTGTAGAATGCAATAAGATACACCTGTAATTAATTCGTGTTTCATGTGTACTATTAAGAGCCAATCCCAGAGCAAGCTCTCTAGAACACAAAAACAGAGAATTCTCTTATTTTTAAATTCTTTTCTATTCTTAGCTTAGCTTAGCAGCATCTACAATATCTCTCTTTATTCTATTTAGTATAGTTATAATGTATTATATATCATATATCAATAAATCCAACCTTCTAATCAAAAAACAAAATTCTCATCCTTCTCTCACCACCCCAGCGACCTCCTCAGGTCACTGTAATTCACCCCCATCTGTGCTCGGGAACTACAACCAAAGTACTTTATAACTCAAAAAAAACCAAATGCATTTCAGGCTCACCTTCATGACAACTGGCTTCTCAAAGTTGTACATAGAGTGTGCCTTCCTCTGGATGAACTTCTGGAATTCTGCAGCAGCAGGAGAAGAAAAGGGCAGTGAGAAGGAAGTGAGTGGGGCAGGGTTTGGGAAGCTCAGGCACTGCTCTCACCATTGTAAACCATCTGGAAGTTGAAGGGTTCTCCATCATAGACCTCATTCAGGTGTTTCATGGCTATGATGAGGCAGATCTCCAGCACAGACAGACCTGCAGGGAAAGACAGGAATCCTGAGTATTTCCCTTGAGCACATCACAGACACAGCCAGTTCACCCACTCTGTTTATTCCTCTATTTTAGATGCTCTGGGCCTCACACATTGGTGTTCTGTATCTTTGTTATGTAAAGAAATTCCAGAATTCCAAGTCTTAGAGAATTCACAGAATGACCAGGTTGGAAGAGACCTTCAAGATCATCGAGTCCAACCCAGCCCAAATACCTCAACTCACCCCTGGCACCCAGTGCCACATCCAGGCTTTGTTAAACACACGCAGGGATGGGGACTCCACCACCTCCCCAGGCAGCCATTCCAGAACTTTGTCACTCTTTCCATGAAAAACTTTTTCCTGATATCCAACCTATACTTCCCTTGACACAGCTTGAGACTGGAGAGGATTGGTAAGAGGACATTTGTTTGCTGTCTATTTGAAGCAGAAGCGTTCAGGATTGGGCTGTTCCCACCAAAAGGCAAGAACTGGAAGTATCCAAGTTGGCACTGCTGGACCCACGGGCAGGTGTGACCCGGAGCAGAGTCCCTGGGCAAGGCCTGTGCAGCTCAACAGGGAGCACTCCCTGCACCGCATCTCCTCCACCAGGAGAATTCCAGGGAGGGACTGGACACCCCCCTGCTTGCAGAGCAGCTCTGGGGAGCAGCTGGGCTTTACCGTGGACAATGTTGGCCTTGGAGTCGGTGCTGTGCTGCCTGCTGGCCTCCTGTAGGTCTGCAGCCGTCAGCAGGGGGTGGTGCACGGTCACGGCGCTGCTGGCCAGCATCTGTGAGAGAGAGAGAGAGAGAGATCACGGGGTGCCCTGCACAGAGCTCACGGTGTGCCTGCAGGGACAGGCACAGCTCACACACACACACAGAGCTCACGGTGTGCCTGCAGGGACAGGCACAGCTCACACACACACACAGAGCTCACGGTGTGCCTGCAGGGACAGGCACAGCTCACACACACAGGGCACAGCTCACACACACAGGGCACAGCTCACACACACACACACACACAGCTCACACACACACAGAGAGCTCATGGTGTGCCTGCTGGGATGGGCACAGCTCACACACACAGGGCACAGAGAGCTCACAGCTCACACACACACACAGAGAGCTCACTGCACTCCTGCTGGGATGGGCACAGCTCACACACACAGGGCACAGCTCACACACACACACACACACACACACACAGAGAGCTCACTGCACTCCTGCTGGGATGGGCACAGCTCACACACACAGGGCACAGCTCACACACACACACACACACACACACAGAGAGCTCACTGCACTCCTGCTGGGATGGGCACAGCTCACACACACAGGGCACAGCTCACACACACACACACACAGCTCACACACACACAGAGAGCTCATGGTGTGCCTGCTGGGATGGGCACAGCTCACACACACACACAGAGCACAGAGAGCTCACACCTCACACACACACAGGGCACAGAGAGCTCACAGCTCACACACACACACAGAGAGCTCACTGCACTCCTGCTGGGATGGGCACAGCTCACACACACAGGACACAGCTCACACACACACACACACACAGACACACACAGCTCACACACACACAGAGAGCTCATGGTGTGCCTGCTGGGATGGGCACAGCTCACACACACAGGGCACAGAGAGCTCACAGCTCACACACACACACAGAGAGCTCACTGCACTCCTGCTGGGATGGGCACAGCTCACACACACAGGACACAGAGAGCTCACAGCTCACACACACACACACACACAGAGAGCTCACGGTGTGCCTGCTGGGATGGGCACAGCTCACACACACAGGGCACAGCTCACACACACACACACACACAGAGAGCTCACGGTGTGCCTGCTGGGATGGGCACAGCTCACACACACAGGGCACAGCTCACACACACACACACACACACAGAGAGCTCATGGTGTGCCTGCTGGGATGGGCACAGCTCACACACACAGGGCACAGCTCACACACACACACACACACAGAGAGCTCACGGTGTGCCTGCTGGGATGGGCACAGCTCACACACACAGGGCACAGAGAGCTCACAGCTCACACACACACACACACAGAGCTCACTGCACTCCTGCTGGGATGGGCACAGCTCACACACACACACAGAGCACAGAGAGCTCACACCTCACACACACACAGGGCACAGAGAGCTCACTGTGTTCCTGCTGGGATGGGCACAGCTCACACACACTCACACACACACAGCTCCCTGCAGTGACTCTGCAAAGGGAATGGACAAACCCCACACACACACAGCTTCACACTGAAAACCCTGCAAATAGCTGGCATCTCAATGTCATCTTACCAGGAAGGTTTTCCAGGCTTAAAACCTCAAAGCCTCCTGATTCCAGGAGATAAATCCTCCTGAACCTGTTTATATCCATGTCAATGGATCAGCACCTCAGAGGCTGCTGCAGGAATGGCTTACAGCTGTTCTGCACCTGCTTTTGTGCCCAGGGACACCTCCCACTGCCCCAGGCTGCTCCAGCCTGGCCTTGGGCATTCCAGGGATCCAGGGGCAGCCCCAGCTGCTCTGGGAATCCCAGCCCAGCCAGGAATTCCCAATTCCCAATGTCCCATCCATCCCTGCCCTCTGCCATTCCCTGGCTCCTGTCCCTCCATCCCTTGTCCCCAGTCCCTCTCCAGCTCTCCTGGCTCCAAGGTCTCCCCAGATCCTTCTCTTCTCCACAGTTTGTCCAGGAACTCCTCACTCATCCCTCCAGCACCTGCATTATGTGCTTTTATTGGGAAGCTGACCTCAGAACAGGTCTCTTTCCAAAGGAAGAGCTCAGCACCTGCTGCAGACCACAAGGACAAAGCTGAGCCTCAGCTCTCACCTCTCTCAGGGAGGCTCTGGGCTGCCATCAGCTCCTTTCCTGATGGGGACAGATCTGGGTGCCCTGCACAGGAACCATCTGCAATCTTGTAACCAACTGCAGAGCCCAGAGCAGCACCAAGGGGGCTCTGCTGTGGCTCTCAGGGTGGCTCTGGGCCCTGCAGGAGGAGCTGGGAGCACTGCAGCCAGCCCAGCCCAGCCCAGCCCAGAGCAGGTCACACATCTGGGCTGGCACAGCCAGGGGGCTTTTCACACTGACACAAGCACAGGGGCACTTTAGGATGGTTAAATTACTGTTATTTAAATTGTTATTTATCCACTGTAAAAGTGTCAGTGCATTTGTATGAGCTCTGTTCCAAAGCAGAATTAGGGAGGCAGCTTAAATTTAAAAATGACCCTCCAAGAGAGCTGTAGCTCCTCTGTGGTGATGGAAGTTCAAGCAGAATAAACAAGTTTCAGTATGAGCAGATGTCAGGATTCACCAGGAAGCAAAAACAATCTCAGAAAGGAAAAAGGAGTTTCACAAGGTTTCACCTGCAGTTCTGCTTTATGAATGGAAAGGCTTGGAGCAAGTGAAATAGCAAAAGCTCAGCCCCACCTGAAGGGAACAGTCCATCCTCACAGGGTAACTGCTACAGACCTGACACAGCACAGGCTGACACAGCCTGCAGGGAGCTGAAGTTCAGTGAAATGCTGTTTCAGACAAAGCCCAGCTCAATGGCCTGAAAGCACCAGAGCTGCTCACAAATCACTGCAAGGAGGTTCCATAAACACCAAATACAGACCAGCAGCGAGTGCAGCGAGCGCAGGTCCTTGCTGTGCTGGAACAGGTTCTGCAGCACCCCCTGCACGGCTTTGTCCTCTGAGAGATGCTGCAAGAGACAGCACAGGGATGTTTCAGCCATCTCACATTAACTTTTAATCATTTCATACTCACCTGGAAAAATAACAGGGAAATGTGTTTTTTAAAGAGCTCAGCTTACACCTGACAATGATAGTGGAACCCTGGAAAAAGTTAAAGATAGAATCTAAAATGTTGGGCTTTGTGCTTTCCCAGATCAACTGCACCTGCGTAAGCAGTATGATAAATTATATAAGTGTTAGATGTGATGATTGTTTAGTAATTAAATGGAATTATTATATAACCATAAGAAGAATAGTGAGAAATTATGTTGGAAATTCAGAGAGGGGCTAAATTTATGTATACACTAGAACAATATAAGTTTAATAATTAACATGAAAGTTATGTAACGATAGAGTATAAAACATGATCATTTGGGATGTGTGGTCAGAGTCAGGTTTGGGTTGAATACACCCCGATTCCCAGAGCTCTTAATAAAAAGCACCGCATGTAATCCCCCGTGATTGTGTGGTTTTGAACACTAACACCAATACAATTTTCATGTCCAACCTCAAGTTTCTGATCTTTCCTGTGACAATTTTACCTTCAAATTTCAATAAGCAAAGATTCTCAATAATAATTTAATTTATTCCATGTCACACTCAGCCAGTGGAAGGAAATGCCAATCTTAGGTAAAAGCTTTACACACATATCCTTTACCAGTAAAAGTGTAAAGTAAACCAGCTTTACGTTGCTCTCACTTCAAAATTTTTCCTAAAATCAATTATAAAATGCTTTTAGTACCTGAACATTATTGTTCCATTTTTGTGCAAAAGACTCATCGGGAAATTCAGCAGGAAGAGAAAGCTGTTTCTTAAATATCTTCATGTATTGTTTAAAATCAAAGGAATTCATCAAATATATCTGTCTGTGGGAGAACCTTGACTTCACTCTCTTCTCCAAGAGCTCCAGGATATCCTTGATGAAAAAAAAAAAGGAAAAACAGTAATTAAAAAAACAGATGAATTTGGTGTGAGAAAAATCACTGAAGTGTGCTGAATAAAAAGAATTATTGAATTCTGAGGGTTAAAATGTTGTACCATAAGTTAAATGATGATTTGAATTGATGTGTCTGCAATGGCACCAAGCAGCCCAGGCCTCGTGGTGCTGCACACCAGCCAGGATCATTTGCTGCCAGGAAACCCAACAAAAAGTCTCCAGAGATTATTGGGAATATTTCAGCTCCTCAAGGCTGCATCAAACCCTGTAGCCTGTCAGGGCTCTGCACAAGCTGTGTGCTCACACTGGGGCTGTGCTTTCTGCCAGCCTGACAGAATACAGCTTCAAAATCCCAAAAAATACCTAAAAGCCAAAAAAACCCCTCAGAAACAGCAGCTGGCACTCTGGAGACACTTCCTTAACTCCACTCCAAGCTGGGGATAAAAGGTTCTCGATAATGGGTGAGGAGCACAGCAGACTCAGGACAGTGATGATGCAGAAGGAAACATTGTAATTTATTAAATCAACAAATTAACTTTTCTATTAACTTCCAGAAATTTGCCCAGCTAATCCCAGTCAAACCCAGAATCAGGCTTTGATAAGAAATTATAATTATTCTTCTTGTCACAACCCAACTGTCTCCAGCACCAACAGTTGTGAAAACAGAAGTTTTATCAAATTTCCATAGTTTTCCTCAGGAATTATTTCACAGAATTTGCCCACAATTCAACATAATGCAATTGTAAAATGAGAGCAAATTGAACAGGGATCCTGAACTCATTTTCTAGCAAAAGCTCACTTTTTCTAGAAAAGGGGATCCTGAACTCATTTTTTTTTAAGAAACCACCCTCCTGAAGTGGTTTCTTTAAAAAAAAAAAAGAGATTTAAACACATCTGTCCTTGCCAACTGCCAACCCAGAAATTCAGGAGCCCCTCCAAAGAGTGAACCACAGTCTAATATTGAATTTGTGTCCTTAGAAATGTTGGTTTGCTCCTTCAGCAGTGAGCCTGAAGGCTTTGGGCATCTTCAATTTGCTCTCAGCACAAATTATTTTTTTTTACATCCTCCTTCCCAATTCAAAAGTTAGAAAAATGGATAATTGAGCAAAGTCACTTAGGAAATGAAGGTTCCAGGGAAGGAGAAGTCATTCCAACTAAGACAAAAGTGACTTTGGAACAGCTGAAAAGGTGGAATGAGGAAATGGCATTTCTTACCTGCCTGCAGGTGAGCCCAATGACTGTCACTGGGGTCTGGGCAGACTGGGAGATGTCAAACAGGTTGTAGAGCAGGCTCTGATTCTTGTGGTGCACAAACAAATCAAACTCATCCAGGACAAACAGAACTGGGCAGCTGCTGGTTCTGTCTCCTGAGAGAAACGTGCAGAGTTAGCAGGGCCACTCCAGCATTAGAGATCCATTGCTGCAGCTTCCTTTATTAATGGGGATAAAAATGCACAATTTCCTTTCAGCTTTTCACTGAGCCCTCCCTTACAGGTGCAACAGCACAAAGGAAAATACATGGAAAAAATGGGAAGGTTTTGTAGTGTTCTTTCAAACAGCATTTCTGGCTGCAAGGAACACAGACTTGGCCAATTTTATTTTAAAAACAACATTTTTAATAGCATCAATCTGGATAAAAGAATCTGTCCTTCACAGCTAACATCACATGCAAGCCTTAGCAGTCCCAGCAGGTGTGTATATCAGTATCAGGTGTATACACTATATTCAGCGTAGTTATCAGTATTAACTATTCTTTACATTATTTTGTAACCATGACACATTTTTGGGCTAAGTTTCTTCATTCCACCTGTAAAGTAGAAGAAAAAACTCCACTTTCCAGCCAAGTGACCCAGAGTTTCACAACAGGGGTTTTAGTGTTTACCTTTCCTCAGAGCTTCAAGGAGGAAGGCAAGGTTCTCAGCAAAACTGCCCTAGACAGAATAAAGAAGTTTCAGAATGGATTTGCAGTGTCATTCTCAGAGCTGTTTAATTACAGCAAACTCAGAGATGCAATGGAGGCCATCAATTCCAAAACTCTGCTTTCAAAATGTCCACTGGTACTTCATGCTGTATAACCATAAACTCCTCAGGACAAGAACAAGGATGGATAACTCTGCATTCACCCACTTTTCCCAGTCTGAAATCCCCAAACTGCCCCAGACAGGCAACAATTAGTGATCAGAGAATGCTGCAATCAGCTAAACTCACAGGCAGCTCCATCCTTCCTGAAACAGCTGCTGCACCCTCCTTTTCCAGCCCCACACATGGAAAAAGTGGCACCCAAGTGTTCCACTGAGGGAGCAGGGTGCAGGGTTTCATTGGTAACTTTATTGAACAGATGGAAGCATCAAACACTCCTGAAAACAACACTGAGTGGCTCTGCCCACCCTGGTCCGGTTCCAGAACTCTCCCAGCCTGCAGCACCCCAGTGTGAGATGAGAAATAATGAACTGAAGAGCACCAGCCCTGTCAAAGGAGGCAGAAAAGCCGATTTAACCTCTGGATGTGAGTTACAGAAAATGAGGGAAATTCATTTGCAAGCACTTTGGTCACTCTCTTTAGGACTGTCCTCAGTACCCATGTAAATCAGTTTGTACAACTCTGTCCTTGCCAACTGCCAACCAAAAAGTTCAGAAGCCACTCCAAAGAGTGAACCACAGTCTAATATTTTAACAGAATATTTGAATATTTTAACAGAAAATTTTAAATTTTAATAGAAATATTTCAATAGAAATTGAATATTTTAACAGAAATTCCATGGAAAATGAGAGCTCTAGGAATCCTGCATAGGCTTCCTTTTTGGATAGACCAAAAAAGGGTTGATAATATATTAAAGATCCTGATTTTTGGTTGAATTCTTTGATTTGAAATGTTAAAAACAACATTTCCAAATTCCCCACATCTCTGAACAAAGTTTCTTTGGAACACTTCAGTTTGGAATACTATTAATAATAAATACTTAAGGAATACTATAAATACTTAATATTTTGGAATAACTTTGGAACACTTAAGTTTGGAATACTTAAGGACTACTATTAATAATAAACACTTAAGGAATACTAGAAATACTTTGGAAAAACTTAGGAATACTTAAGTTTGGAATACTATTAATAATTAATACTTAAGGAATACTATAAATACTTTGGAATACTTAAGTTTGGAATACTACTAATAATAAATACTTAAGGAATACTAGAAATACTTAATATTTTGGAATACTTAAAGAATAGTATTAATAATAAACACTTAAGGAATACTAGAAATACTTTGGAAAAACTGTGGAATACTTAAGTTTGGAATACTATTAATAATGAATACTTAAGGAATACTAGAAATACATAGTACTTTGGAATAACTTTGGAATACTGAAGTTTGGAATACTTAAGGAACACTATTGATAATAAATACTTAAGGAATACTATAAATATTTAATACTTTGGAAAAACTTTGGAATACTTTAAGTTTATTTTTCTGGGGCGTGTTAAGACAGATTTCCCTTTTTCCCTCCTGTAAGGCACAAGTTGGTGGGTGTTTAAAAAATGATAATTATGCATCAGTAGTGCTCCATCAGCAAAGGGAGCCCAAGCAGGCCCTGCAAGCCCCATCCCACACAGCCCCAGTGTCCCAGGACGGGGTTTGGAGGCTCAGTGAAGCCACTCACAAAAACTTTGTCCCCAACCGCATTTTCCAGCTGCAGCTGCCTGGTGATCTCCTTCAGGGCCACGTTGTCATTGGTCTGCAGAAGCCCTGAAGGAAAGAAAAGGGTTCTTCATGGAGAAGTGGCAGCTGTTCCTCACCCCCACTAAAACTCAACAGCAGCTCCTCTGCCTGGACAGCCTTGCAGAGCTTTTTGCATTTTCAAAAATCAGACTGGACAGGGGTTTCTGAACCTGACAAGTGATTAATTCTGTCACTAAGAGAACAGAAGTTCCCTTTATATAATAAATACAAAGAGAGGCATTTTGGAACTCACAGACAAACATGGCCATGATTTAGGCTGGACTGAATTGCTGAAAGCAAGAATTTCACTCAGTACATACAAATAGAGAAGTGAACATAACAGAACCCTGGATCAATGATGCTTTACTTGCCATTCAGGTGGACTTCCAAGAGGTTCTCTCTCACTTGTTCCATTTCCCTGAGGTCTTTTAAAACATGATTTAATAACTAGGAAAGAAAAAATACAGAATTTCTGTGAGAAGATTCATTTTTTATCAGCAAGGAACATGTTATTATAAGATAGGAAACTGTGTAAGGTTTCATCAGGGAACATGTTTGAGTAATTGCCAGACTAAATCCCTAAAATGACAACTTAGCATTCACCAGCCATGATTGTAGCATTGCATTTGCTCATTCTGCTGAACTGGGAGGGAAGGGAAAATAACTCTGCTATTTCAGTCACTTATTTTTGGGCTAATATCTGGGGCTTTTGCTTAATCAAAAAGCTTTATGAATTTGAGATGTGAGAGAATTTGACTCTTCAGTTGGTGCCATATTCAGTTTCATGGTTTCTTTGGCTGCTGTAGAAAGAAACTCTCTGCTTTAGATTGTAAAAGAAACTCTGCTTATTCTTTTCCTCTGGAAGACAAAATTAAAACTGCCCAATTACACCAACTGCTGCTTATAAAAGTCCCAAACTTGGTGTCCATCAAGAACTTGTTACTAGTAAAAACTTGTATTAGATATCTGTAAGTAGTGGAAATGTTAAATTTAAAAAGCCACTATTTGCTTTGGCTTCTTTAGAGAAGGATTTGTAGCTCCCACCTGTGTGCAAGTATAAATATATATAAATATATATAAAATATATAAAATATATATACTTTTCTATATTTTTCTATATATTTCTATATATAAATATATATAAAATATATAAAATATATAAATATACATATAAATATATATATTTCTATATATAAATATATATAAATATATACACACATTCTTTTCTTTACTCCAGCATCTTACACTTGATATATAAAAAGGAAGCAATTCATTCTGCATAGGTGATTTTGCTAAATTATATTCTGCCTGAAAGGACCACAAATTTTTCATCACATCTTTTACCGTAAATATTAAAGACTTGAGTGTCTGAATAATGTTGAAGTATTGAACATTCAATTTAGAGGTCATCTCTTCATGTGCCTCACTAAGGGGAATTCCCTTAAAATACAAAACCTACACTTATGAACCATAAGCACCAAAAATATTCTGCTCCACGGCAGGTAACAACATTCCTGACCATTCCCTGCACACACACCAATGGAGAAGCCATCAATTTTTATTGTTATCAATGACTTGAAAGTAAGAATAAAGTTGCAGGAGGCAGAATATGGTATAATTATAAAAAGGAGAAAAAGCAATTAAAATACATAAGAAATCACTGATCCAGGGATAACTCCTTGCAAGATGTGTTACACTTTTTAACCAGCAACTTTGGGAAAACAGGAGAATAAAGGTTTAAAAATAGCAAACAAACTAAGAAATAAAGGTTTAAAAAAACCAAACAAACTACAAACTGATTTGGCAGCTGCTGTCCTGCTGCTAAATAAAGTCACCTGGGTTCTGATTCACCCTACAAACTAGGAGATTTTTTAAAAAGCCTAAATGGATAAAAATAGATTGGCAATTTGGACGCCTTTTTGTCATTTTTACAGTGAGGCCCCAAAACCAGGTTAATTAAAGAGCAATCAGAACATGGCTTTAATTGCAAAGAGAAGTGTTAGGAGCAGATTTCTCCATGCTGTTCCTGAAGAGAATTTGCACAGAAAGTCCTGGATGGTTTGAATTTCTCTGCAAACCACTGGCAATTCTCTCTGCAAAGGCCCTGCTGGGCCCTCAGGGAGCTCCAGGGCTGCTCCTACCGCGGATTTCCCGGAGCCCCGGGGGCCGATCACCAGGGCGGAATTGCTCTCCCCGTGCACCGTGGTTCTCTTCAGCAGCTCCAGCAAATGTCTGTGTTGGAAACAGGAACAGGCTGAGACCCTCAAAGCTGACAGCATCCCCCAAACCCAGGGAAAACTCAAAGAATAAAATTCAATCCAGTTCAGCTCGCTCCGAGAGCCAACACTCAGGGCATGCAAAATGTAGTACAATAAAGTACAAAGGGCTCGGTGATCAGAGCTCTTAAAATACTTTAAAATATTAAAGCATGCTGAAGTTGAGAGTATCACTAATTCATAAAGCTCTGCAATTCTCAAGGACAGACCTCAATAATGATTTCTTTCTTTAAGAAATAGATTGCTTTCTGTGCTCCCACTGCTCCTCCCCAGCTGTGAATTACCTGCAGACAGACTCAGCACTTCAGACCACATTTACAGTGCTCACAGCAGCCAATGACACCTGCAATTCCCAAATGCCTGGGAAATGCTTACACCCCAATAATTCCCAACATTCCACATCAATAATGTGCTTTTGGAACATGGGATACTGACACCCTGCTGTTGCTTCTGAGGGGGTGAGGGAGCCAGCAGCACATCTGGGTTTGGTTCCTGTTGGAGAGCCAGCCCCAGCCAAGAGCCCTGGCACATCCTGGGAAGGGAAAATCAGAGCTGGGAGCTCACTGTGCTTTCCCTGCAGCATAATTCACTGCCAGGGGCACACTGAGCAGGACACAGCCTGGAAATTGCTTTTCAGAATTCCAGTATAAGTAGGGGAGGCTTGTTCTGTAAAGCTGACATGGCAGAAATGCATTTCCTCACAACAGCAATAAAATGCCCGTGTGAGCGCTGCAGGTACAGCACACTGTTCTCATAAATGGCTTTGTCCCTCTTGTAATGAAAACTTGTGCTCACATCAGGTGATTCCACTTACATAAAGTCAGCCTTGGAAAAATTAATTGTTTTAAACAAATTCTTAAAATACATGTTTGTTATCTGCAGAATCTGACCTGCATCTGAAAAATGATCAGTACTGGGACAGTGTTATTGTCCCACTAAATCCCTTATTCCTAACCCTAAATTTCCCCTCTGGATGGCTCCAGAGGTAGGTTTAAATTTGGATTTCTGCTTCAACAAACACAATGTTGGCACAGAAATGATAAGATTTACTTCTAACACAGTTCACCAACAAAGAGGAGAAAATCTGCAGTAAAAATGAAGTATCACAGCAAGAGAATTTAACTTCTTGCTTTGCCAGGCCACTACACAAAGTCTTAGGACATGCAGTGAGAGTATCAAAAAGAAAAGTGTTCCATGAATGAGAGATGCAGAACAAGGACAAGAAATCCAAAACTCAGAGCCTGACAAAACCAGAAGGGAACAGCTGAATAAAAACTGTCAAACTCTGAGACAAATAATTGTTAGAAGCACTGGGCTGGAAGTCATTTAAATCTGCATCATTTGGTAAAAGAGAGAGGCAGAAATTCTGACTGTAGCAGGTTATTTCACTGGTGCAGGTAAATCAGAAATCCCTGAACCCTGGAGCTGCTCCCTCACCTGTACTGCTGCTCCATCCCAAAGAGTTTCCCAGCAGCACAGTGGTGACAGAACCTTTCCCGAAGGATTTTCTGCACCTGTGGATGTAACACAGCACAGGAAAAATGTCTGGGGTGCAAACAGCAGAATTTACAATAATGTCACTACAGCAATCAAATAACAGCAAATTAGGCACTTCTGTGGTGTTACAAATATTCTATAATACATACATTTTTATTGTTATTAATGACTTGAAAGTAAGAATAAAGTTGCAGGAGGCAGAATATGGTATAAATATCATAAAAAGGAGAGCAAACAATTAAAACACATAAGAAATCATTGATCCAGTGTTAACTCCTTGCAAGATGAGTTGCAGTTTTTAACCAGCAATTTTGGGAAAACAGGAGAATAAAGGTTTAAAAATAGCAAACAAACTAAGAAATAAAGGTTTAAAAAAACCAAACAAACTACAAACTGATTTGGCAGCTGCTGTCCTGCTGCCAAAAAGAGTCACCTGGGTTCTGATTCACTCTACAAACTAGGAGATTAAAAAACTAAAATGGATAAAAATAGATTTGTGCAATTCTGGTGCTACAAACAGTTGCAAAAAGCATGAGACCATTCTTTAAATTTTTTACTACGTTATTACTGTAACATCTTTAGCAAGCAACAGGTGGGAAGCTGAAAGAAATACATATTCAAAAGCCATCTGGTGCCCTAACAATTGTATCCAGCATCTGTACAAGTTTTTCTAACTGGTCAAGGAAAAAAAAATACAATGACATGAATAAGGAGGGTGAAAAAGTTCCATAAGTTGAAAAGAATATAATAATAAAGGTGTAACTGACCTGGGAAATGCACTCAGCACTTTCTCCACTGCTCTCCCTCAGCTTTCGCTTGCTCATTGCAGAAGGTTTCATCTTTGGAGGAAATAAACATTTTATTAAATAGCATTGCTTTCCAAACAATCCCAATCAGAAACTGTACTTGGATGTTGGTTATTTTTAAGGACTGCAATGAACATCTGTTCTTAACTAATAAAGATGCAGCAGTCCATCTTCCTAGTAAAAAAGAGCCAAAACACTGAAATAATTTAAAATTTATTCCTGATAACATTAATGTTTACACACTTCTCCTAAACAGCACTGCCTTTAGGATGCCTTAGAGAGTTTAAAATTATGTCCTTATGTTTCTGCAGCTGCAACAAGCTACAAGCACACGATTAAGACAGGAATTAAGTTTTCACAGGAATAACTGGCCATCCTTATTTATAACAATAACCACGGCATCTCCCTGGACAAGTTGGTTCTGAAGGGGTCCTAAGGGGATTGGGGGGGTTTCTGAAGAGATTTGGGTAGATCCAGAGGGCGTTTGAGGGAAAACCTTTAGGGATTGGGTGACCTTGGGGGGAATCATGATTGAGAAGATTGAGTGGGTTCTGAGGGGGATTCAAGAGGGCCTGAGGGAGGCTCTAAGGGGAATTTGGGAGGAAATTACAGGTCTTGAGGGGGATTTAGGAGTGGTCCTGGGAAGGGTTTGGGGATGGTCCTGAAGGGTTTGGGGTGAAAAATTTATGGGGGCTAGGAGGGTCTGGGAATGCTGAAAAAGAACGGGGCACGGGTAAGTGTCTATTTGGCCAGGGATTTGGGGAAGGACTGTGGGAATGGGGAAGGTGGGGGGATTCATTTTTCGGGGCTGGGAGAGTCTGTGACAGATGAGGGAACGGAGAGGGCACAAAGAGTTCGGGAATGTCCATGAGGGGCTATGGGGATGCTGAGGGCGGGTTTTGGGAGGACCTTGAGAGGTTCCAGAAGGAAATGAGGGTGGGCTTACAGGGCTTGGAGAGTCTTAGGGTACTGTCCGGCCCCCCACCTCCCCTCACGACGTTTCCCGCCTCTTCTCCAACACCTGAGGGCGGCCACCGCCGCTCGCACGCTCCCCTCAGCCCTCACCTCACCCCGCACAGCACCCGCCACCCCTCCCAGCAGCCATTCCTCCCCTCAGGAACCGCTCCCCCGTTACCCTCCTCACAGGCTGCATCCGCGGCTCCCTCAGAGACGCCGGAGCCCGGGCAGATGAAGGGCGGGGAGGAGGGCGCATCCTCCGCAGCTGGGCACGTCCCTCCCGGCGGAGGCTGAGGCTGAAGCAGACACAAACACTGGCTCTCCCTCCGCCCGCCCCCGTCACCTGCCCGCGCTCCCCTCACGCCGCTTTCCCTCCCTCTCCTCCCACACCTGAGGGCGGGACCCGCCCCGCGCGCGCGCGCGCGCCCGCCCGCCCGCTCCCACCGGCCCCCGCGCGCACCGCCCCCTCACGTCACCGGGCGCTCCCCTCCCCGCCCCTTCCCCTTCCCTCCCCTCCGCTCCTCTCTCGTCACTTCCTCCCCGTCCATTTCCCCCCCTTCTTCCTCCCCCTCATCCACTTCCTTCCTCCCTGTCCCGGATCCGTTTCCGGGAGCGGCGCGCGCGGCGCTGTGGGAAGTCGTCGTCTCCCCCCCCCCCCCCCCCCCGTTTCCCCCCCCTTCCTCCCCGCGGCCTCCCGAGCTCCCCCGGGGCGCATGCGCGGTGGCGGCCGCCGCTGCTGCCTCCCCTCCTCTTCCTCCTCCTCCTCCTTCTCCTCCTCCTCCTCCTCCTCCTTCCCGACAGCGGCGGCGGCGATGAGGAGGAGCGCGGGGGGGGGCGGCGGCGGGACGGCCGGTTGTTCGCGCCGCTGAAGGGACACGAAGCAGCGCCGCGCCGAGGCGGGGGCGGGGGGCCCCGAGTCGCTGCCCCCCCCGCAGCCCCGCCGGGGAGTTTCTTCCACATCCCCCCTAAACACACCGAGAGCCCCCCTCGTCCCTCGGGGGCGGCCCCGCGGAGCGCCGCTCCCTCCTCCTCCTCCCCCTTTATTACCCTTTGTGTGCGTCTCCGCCTTCCTCCCTGCGCCCGGGGGCCCTGAGGTGAGTGCGGGGGGAGCGGCGGGGCGGGGGGGGCTGTTTGTTTACCCCGTGTTTACCCCCTGTTTACCCCGGGGGGGCACCGCCTGTCACTCCGGGCCCCTTCCCGGCGCCCCCCGCCCCAGCTTTGTTGTCGGGGGATGCTCCGGGGATGCTCCTTTGGGCCCCTCCGGAGCGGGAGGGGAGGCGGGTGACGGCGGCGGGGGCGCCGGGCAAAGTTCGGGGTGCTGCGGTGGGTGCCGAGCCCCGGCCGAGTGCCCCAAGTGTTGTTTTCCCGGGATATCAGGGAGCCCCGGCGTTGCCCCCCAGGTTCCAGGCCGTTGTTTGACTTATTGTTTGAGTTATTAAACCCCTGCGGTGGTGAAGGTACAAAGACCACTTGTACAAAGACCCTTTCCCGAGCTGAACTTCCAGGGGATAGACAGTCCAGGAGCTGGACTTGGTGTCTGCGGGTTGGGATGTGCTTTGGTGGCAGCCCCTGGTTTATCGGTGGTGCCCGGCTATATTTGGGCAATGGTTTGTTGGGATGTATATGTCGGGATGTGTTTTTCCATGGTTTCTGCTGGGAAGGCCAAGTGTCTCCATCCCCGCTCACCCTCTTGGCCAGGTGCTGCTGGTGGACTGGCCTGACCATGTTTGCTGCTGGTTCCAGGGAAACTTACGTGTTCAAACGTCTGAAATAGGTTAAAATGTAATGGCTTTAAATGTCAAACTAAATTGTGGACTCGAGGAAATATTGGGAGATGCCTCCTAGATGTTTGCAAGGATCCAGAAGGAAGAGTTGAGGTGTTAGCACCAAGTTGAGATGAGACAGTCCCCTACACAAGTAGGATGTTTATAGTGGAATTGCTGTTGTCTGCTTATTTCTGGAGCTTAATTATGTCCTCTGTAATTTCCAAAAGGCGGTTGGAGCGCTTTGGTTTATTCTGGGTTTATTATTTTTGGTTTATTAAGCGCTGGGTGCAGAACCATGGAGTAGGCCATGGGTGTGTGTTCCAGAGGGGCACCCCAGTTAAACGGTGAGCACAGAGTGTGTGTCACTGAAGGATGCCCACAAGAAAGAGCTCTCCTGGCATGCTGGGCTGTCTCCCATTCCTGGTTTGTATCTGGTGGGAAGCAGCAGGTTTGGGGTCGGGCTGGGATGAGTTTGTGAGAGCTGTAATTTGATGGAGTGGAAGGAACAGAAGAGCTTGATTGATACTGGACAATGTTGTGATGGAGAATTGGAGGCAGCAGCCATAACTGTAGCTCTTTCTCATAGTTTGCTGTTAGTTTTCTTTTTGCTTGTGATAACTTTGGGTTTAAACGTGTGGGGACAAAACCTCAATGGTGTCAATCCCCAAAATTACCAGATCTGTGTATAAACACCCATGATTTAAACATGCTTACCACAGGTGGGAGTTGGACAGCAAAAGCCTGTCCAGGAGGGAAGGACATAATTGGATTATTTTATTTCATGACACTGCTGCTTTTCTCAGCCTGAGATCCCATTGATCTGCATTGCTCTGTTATGGAAGCCTACAGTGGCTGCAGGATTACATTCCCCGTGTCTGTAGAGCTGCAGCTCTGCCCCCAACTTCCACATCCTCCAGTGGTGTGATACAGTGATTATTGCAGGGATTTCACCATCTCCTTGTGTTTGGGGCTTTGAAGTACCTATGGTTTGGTTTAATATGGTCACACAGTGAAATAGAACAGGATTCTGAAGCTGGGCAGAGTAAGTCAGGGTTTTTTCTTGCTGTAAACCCTAGAGATAAAATAACTGATAAACCTTCATTTCCATAGGCCTCCAGTCCTGCAGCCAGGTCTGTGCTGGAGGGAGAGCTGTGGGATTGGTGTGGGAAGGGCCCTCTGGAGGATTCTGGGTGGCAATTCCTGCATTTCTGCTTGGCACAAAGGGGTCTCAGGCTAATTTGGGCCTCCTGGCTGCCGTCACAACCTCCCTAGAGCTGAAGGAATTGAACCTTTCAACCTGTGCTGGGAAAGATTGGGAATTATCAACAGCTGTAACTGAAAGGCAACCCAGTTTCCTTTTAGTTGGGTTCCTAAGCTCTTTTTGTTGCTATTATTGAGATATTTACAGGTGCTGACTGCTTCTAGGAAAACTTGGTGTGGATTTTCCTGTTCTTTATCTTTGGGGACAGAATTAATAATTATTTTGCTGTATTCTGGGTCAGTGGCTTCTGGAGTTAGCAAGGAGCTGCCATGGCTGTGCTGAGCATGGAGATGCTGTTTAGGCCTGACTTTATTCATGTTTCTGTGGAGTTTCTGCCATCCCTTCCTTCCTCTGTGGCCAGATGAGTTGGTCTCTGTTTGGATTAGGGAGGCGGATGTTTGAGGAGAATCTTTATGATGCAATACCTTCAATAATTGAACTTTTCTTGCTGTCCTTTCATTGTTGGGCTGTGCAGGGATCAGTGTTTCTCCTTGTTCAAAGGCACAGGAGATCCTGGCATCATCACAGTCCTCTCCAGGATGCCTTGGGATTCAGCTGGGTCATTTAATTCGTTTTGTCAGTGGATTTATATTTTTTTTCCTGCTGTTCCTCGTGGTTGTTCCTTCTCTGTGGAAGATGAGTGTCTGGAATACCGTCTGTGAGCCCACCATGGGTTTGTGGCTGAGCAGGCAGTGCTCCCTGTGGAAAGCCCAGGCCAGGTGGGAGCCCCTGTGCCCATCTGGAGCCCCACTCATGTCCCAGGGTCTCTCCATGGGCTTAAGGGGCCACGGGCACAAAGCAGTTCAGGCTCAGCTGCTCATGGCCAGGGACGCTCAGTTTGAAAGTGGCCGAGCTCCCTTTGCAAAAATCCTGCCAGAACTTTGGGCAAGTGGGGAATTCTGTTTGTGCTTTCAGCCTTGTTGGGTTGTCTGAGGGTTTGGGTTTGTTTGGTTCTTGTTCTGTCCCAGTGAAATCAGAATTACCATTGATTTCAAAAATAAAAAGATACAGGATACATTTATTTCCTTTTTAATGCTCTTATGTCATTAAGGACCTGCTTATTCTTTTAAAGAGTTGCTTGAACGTTGGAAACCACAGGCTCTCATTGGCTTCTCTTTGTGTTTATTTTTGGAACTATTAGGTGCAATAATTCTGCTCAATCAGTTTCAAATGGGCCTGCACAGGAACCAGGGCTGGTATTAGGGATGAAATTTTGGGAGAGCATTGGAAATAGCTTTCAGGATGCTTTCATTTTTCTCTGTGTATCTGCAGCTAAACGAAGAGGGAATAAAACAAAAAGCAGCAGTTAAGAAATTGAGAAGTGCTGACTCTTCCCCTCTTTTGAATTCCAAGTTCTTTATTATAGCAATTTCTATTTCTTGATGAATCGTCTAGAAAGGAGTTCAGACTTGGTACTATTTTTAAATCAAGGTGAAATTTATCAAAATCACTTGGACTGCAATGTTCAAAAGTGTATGAGTACACATGCAAACGAGTCTAGCTGCGTACACAAATAGGTAAATATATAAATTAACATCTACAAGAAGCAGTAAAATCACTGATTGGAACTTTGCAGTGCTGCTTTGGGGTGCATTGCGAGCCCTGAGCTCCAGGCTGGCAGCAGCGATCACTGAGGGCCCTGCCATGGCTATTCACAGAGCTCTGTGCAATGGGCTGCTCAGCTGGGTTTGTGTGCAGCCTGACAGGTGTTCCCAGCCCCAGAATCCCCATCGCCTCCCATCCTTCCCCTGGGAGTGACCGAGGGACAAATCCTGCTCTGGGCTCCATTGGTGGTGGAGCTGGAGGTGCCCAAGATCCATTTCTTGTTTGTTTGAGGGTTTTTTTCTGAAATATTCTGTTTCGGGAGCTTTAAATGTGCTTTAAAATAAAGTGGTAAAGTGCTTGAAAATTCTTTTTATGTTTCTAAGCAAACCTTTATTCTTTCATTTATTATTCTAGTTAAATTAAATCTGCTGTTTATTTTGTATATTTTTATTTTCCAGAAAATGTTTTAAACTAAGCTAGCAATATTTTAAAAATTCTTATCTTGCCACAATATCTGATAACCAGATATTGATTATATATATAATATAACCAGAACACATAGAAGCAATATATTAATTCATTACTTTGCTATGAGGTAAAATTGAAAAAAAAAAAATTGTCATAATTTTTGCTTAGTGTACATTTTCAGTGGCATTAAATGCAGAATTATTTTGGTGTGTGAGCAATCTGAAATGTAAATAGCATGTGAAATATGAGGGCCCTTGCTCTGCAGCATCAGTGGCGTGGCCTCGCTC